TCGCGATCCCAATGCCCCGCCTCGCAGTCCCAATGCTTCCCCAGCTCGCAATTCCACCAGCCCCTCAGCTCGCACCAACCAGTATCAATCTCGTCCTCCTCGAGTGATTGACGCTAGATCCTTTGCGGCGGCACGAGCTAGCGGTGGAGAGCAGTCTAAGATTATCCGCAGCCCGAGATCACGCAACATTCGTGGCGGCGATCAATCCCAAAATCGCAAACCCAAACCCTCCGCCAAAGGTGCCAAAGGTGTCAAGGGTGCTAAGGGTAACCGAAATGGCCCACGCAGGAGCGCCAAAACTTCCGAGAATGACGATGGCGAGGAGGCCGAAGGAGCGGCTATCGACCAAGTTCTGGAAGAACAAATTATCAAATCCCGGCCAACCCCGATTCGCTACGAGCCCCAGGAGATCAATTACTCTACTTTGAAAAAGACGTGGCCTTCAATTCCCACAGATGTGAACTCGCGCTCGGCTGCCGTCTATGAGAAGCTTTCCACCCTCAGCGGCCGCGTTTCCGATGGCTATATCCCGCCCTATGAGCTTGGAAGACGCCTGTGGAAGGGCCAGAACGTTCTCTTCACCAGCGAAAATGAGAAGGCCGAGGCTTTGGAAGAGACCAAGCGATTGGCTCAGCTTCGTGCCGATCGAATTTCACAGCGCAAGGGTGACCTTGTGGAGCCTCGGAATGTCGAGTTTAGCCCCATCGACGCAAAGACCACCAAGTCTCTCATAGAAACCTTCGTTCAGGGTAAATACCCCGCGTCTGAAACCGGGAAAGATGGACATGCGGTATTGGGAGAGGTGTCGAAGAACCTCAGGAACAATGCTACTTACCAGACAACCGGTAAGACTGCACAGTTCATGGCCAAGATTGAATCTCTTGTCTCTGCTGGCCGCAACACCAAGACCAAGAGTGCCTAGGGATATGTGAACTAGTGCTAGAAGTGATTTGTATTATATCTGTTTCATTGATCGGGTTCATTTTCCTTTATTTTTACCCTATATCTTCCCCGATTATGCCTTTGTCTGTACCTAGATATACAAAGTTTTATTTTACAAATGCCCATTACCATAGGCTCTAGTTTCCTCATAATCTTTCCTTGGCTTGCCAGTTGGGATTCTTATACCTGTTCCAATGTCTTCTTGGCTGCTTCGAATGCATCCTTCACCTCCTTTTGGCCCTGTTCTGTAACCTTCTCCATCTGATCGTGAGCTTTACGCACGTCATCTGGCCGAGCTAATTTCTTCTTCTGCATATCCTGGAGACGTTTATGCATGGCACCCCTAGAGTCACGTACCACACCGGCAGCTCTTTCGAATGCGTGCTTCGCAGCTTGAATGTTCTTATCCCGAGATTCTTTTGTAGGTGGTGGGATAGGAATGTTGAGCTGGAGGGCGTTATGCGGATCAGGCTGAGGGGTCAAGGAGAGGTTTGAGGAGACGATCGCTGAAGTAAGAGGTTTCAAGTGCTGCGTAAATTTTATTAGCACGTATTCATAGGGAGAGCAAAGGCAGTCTGCATGCTGCAACCACAAAGGAAAATCGAGCATCTTGAACTTACATCCTCTTCGGCCGCCAAAAGAGTGACCATGCGTCCTCCCTTGGGCACAACCTGCGCGAGATCTCCCAATTTGACCGAGTCTTTGGTGTCTTTGCTCAGGTGGACCCTCAAGCTTTCTAAAACTGCGGTGTTGAACCGCCCTCCTGCGCGAAGCTTGGACAGATCATCTTTTAGCCGAGCGACAGCTGTGGAGATGCCATTGTGTAACTGGGAAAGATCAAAGGGATCTTCCAAAGGTGCACCAGAGGTCTCCTCTGGCTCGGAAGCAGAAGCAGAAGCTTTCTTGGCCTTTTCCTTCTTCTTGTATAGGGCAGGCGAGTTGGCAAACTCACGCCTGTTCAGAGGAAGAGCGCGCGGGGTTCGGGGAAGGAGACATAAAGGTCGAAGCGCCTGAGTTCCTTGAGGATGTGCAACAAGGCGAGGGCTAACGGAGCGGAGGGATTGAGTTATAATGCGTTGCATGGTGGAAGTGGTTGATGTAATATGTTCAAGAGCGGAGGCGCAGAAGTTCAGAAGTCTGTCTTACATTACCCGCCCTTCCGCCTCACGGCCAAAAAACACACACTAGAAACTACCAAGCTTACGAAGTCTTACTTTTGAGAGGAAATCATCACAATGTCATTAAATTGCAGATGGCGAACTTCGTCTACAAAAAACAAAACAAATCATACTTTTCAAGAAAAGAAAACTGCGCCCAAGTTGCCCGGCTTCATAAACAAAGCGTGACAGAGACCAACTCTGCCCAAGGTCTACATGGTGCAGATTCCCTGAGAAGCAGAGTCCCGGGAAAAAGGAAAATTCGTTGGCCATAAGTCTATGTTCATGCCTTCCCATGTATGCATTTACCGTGTGGCCATGGCCTTGGTGATCAGACGCTTGAGAGCAAGCTCCTTCTTCTTGAGGTCCTCGGGGGTGGAGTCCTCAACCTCGAGCTGGGCCATGGCGTCGCTGAGAGCGGACTCAATGCGCTCCTTGTTGCCACGCTTGAGCTTCATGGACATGCTGGGGTCGGAGACGATCTCCTCAACACGGGAGATGTAAGACTCGAGCTGCTGGCGGGACTCGAAGCGCTTGGTGAAGGCCTCATCGGAGGTCTTGAACTTGGCAGCATCTGGAAATCATGAAGTCAGCACATAGTAAGAAAAGAGAGTAACATTGGACAGGAGAAACATACCGTCAACCATCTGGTCGATCTCGGCGCTGGAAAGCTTGCCAACAGCGTTGGAGATGGTGATGTTGGCAGTGCGGCCGGAGGTCTTCTCAGTGGCGGTGACCTTCAGGATACCGTTGACATCAACCTCGAAGACACACTCGAGAGCGGCCTCACCGGCGCGCATGGGAGGAAGGGGAGCAAGAGTGAACTCGCCCAGGGAGGTGTTGTCAGCACAGTTGGTACGCTCACCCTGGTAGACGGGGAACTGGACAGTGCTCTGGTTGTCGACAACAGTGGTGAAGGTACGCTTCTTAATGGTGGGGACGGTCTGGCCACGGGGGACAACGGGGGCGAAGATGTTACCCTCCATGGCAACACCAAGGGAAAGGGGAACAACGTCGAGAAGGAGCAGGTCAGCGGTCTCGGCGGAGGTGGCCTTGCCGGAGAGGATACCGGCCTGGACGGCAGCACCGTAGGCAACAGCCTCATCGGGGTTGATGCTCTATAAGAAAAAATGTAAGTAACTAGTTTTGTCGTTAAAATCAGGTAGTACTGTCTTACCTTCTCGAGCTTCTTGCCATCGAAGAAGTCGCTCAGGAGCTTCTGGATGCGAGGAATACGGGTGGAACCACCAACAAGGACAATCTCGTCAACCTTGCTCTTAGGGATGCCAGAGTCCTTGAGGACCTGCTGGACGGGCTCGAGGGTACCGTTGAAAGCCTTGGCGTTAAGGTCCTCGAAACGGGCACGAGTGATGGAGGAGTTAAGGTCCTCACCGTCGAAGAGAGAGTCAATCTCAACGGTGGTCTGGGTAGCGTTGGACAGGGTACGCTTAGCACGCTCGCAAGCAGTGCGGAGACGACGGAGAGCGCGAGCATCACCGGAGATATCCTTGCCAGTCTTGCGCTGGAACTCCTTCTTGAAGTGGTCAAGGAGGTTAGTATCGAAATCCTGACCACCAAGGTGAGTGTCACCAGCGGTGGCCTTGACAGTGAAGACACCACCCTGGATGTTGAGCAGGGAGACATCGAAGGTACCACCACCGAGATCGTAGATGAGGACGTTGCGCTCCTTCTCAGACTTGCCAGCACCGAGACCGTAGGCGATAGCGGCAGCAGTAGGCTCGTTGATGATACGGAGAACGTTGAGGCCAGCGATGGCACCAGCATCCTTGGTAGCCTGACGCTGGTTGTCGTTGAAGTAGGCGGGCACAGTGATGACAGCCTTCTCAACCTTCTTGCCGAGCTTGGTCTCAGCAACCTCCTTCATCTGTTTCAAGTAGTCAGTAAAAGAATTCCACAGATACTATGTCTACATATCCATACCTTCATGAGGACCATGGAGGAGATCTCCTGGGGAGAGAAGACCTTGGTCTCGTTGAGGTACTCGACCTGGACAACGGGGTTGCCACCCTGGTCGATGACCTTGAAGGGCCAGGACTCAACATCCTTCTTGACGATGGGGTCATCAAAGCGGCGACCGATCAGACGCCTATTCAACTTGTGTTAGAACCAATTTGGAATTGTGGAGAATGCGCAATCTTGAATTGATAAGCGCAAAGAAATTTTTTTTTTTGAGAACTCACTTGATATCGAAGACAGTGTTGGCAGGGTTCATAGCGGCCTGGTTCTTGGCGGCATCACCAATGAGACGCTCCTTGTCGGTGAAGGAGACGAAGGAGGGAGTGGTGTAGCTACCCTGGTCGTTGGCAACTGATTTAACAGTCAGTATTTGAGAGAGAGAGATCGAATTTTGGGGATATGCGTACTGATCTCGACATTGGTGCCCTCGTAGTTGGCAACGCAAGAGTAGGTGGTACCTAAACACCAAAAAAAATGCAATTAGCAACTGTGCGATCGAATTTAGTGAGGTTAGAACGTACCGAGATCGATACCGACGGCACCGTCGTAAACCTCAGAATCGGCCATTATGAATTTGTATATGTGATTTTGAGGGAGGGATGGGAAGAGGGATGGTGGGGGAGAGAGGAAATTTTTTTATCAAGCCGAGTGCATATTTAGTCGGAGCCACAAAAAAAAAACCAAATTTTTTTAGCGGTGAGTCACGTGGTTCCGGTTATTCACCAAATACAGGGTATATTACATACTCCATACGGAGTACAGATGTCCAACGTAGAAGTACCTTCGGGTCTGCTGATAGTATTCCTATGTATTCCGAGGTACTAACACATACATTATAGACGTTTGAATCCCCCAAAGGTACACCATTATACAATTCATTAGCTTAATTACCCATTTTATACATCCGTACTCCGTATTCACCGTTCAATCAATATCCATTGGATCGTATAAATCTTCATCCTTCTCATCCTTCAAGTTCTCATCCTTGTCCGTAACCTTCTCTCTAGCTCGTGCTCGAGCTCGAGATTCAAGAATTGCCTTTCGAACATTATCTTTTTCCCGGGGAACCGTGAGGGAAGATGGTTCCGTATAAAGAACGAGTTCTTTCCCTGAAGATTTCGAGTCGGATAGAACGGACTGAGGGACTGAGAGGACTTTCTCCGCGAATGGTAAAAAGACCAAACCGGGAGAATCGTCTTCGATTAATTCATGATCCAGGTTGTGAATGTAAGTTGTATGCTTGGTGTCATCCAAGAGCATTGGCTCAGGGGCAGAATGCCCGTGATTAAGTTGGTTATGTGGGTGATAGTCAATGTGGTCATGTTGATTATGGATAGGCTGCTGAATATGCCCCTTGAGTTGGGCCCGAGCGGAGATTGGCAGGCGATTATCTAGAAATATGTTAGCTTAACAACCTCCACACTCTCAAGATCAACCTACCTAGTCGTAGGCCTCCAAATCTTTTCGTTAACGGTTGCGCGACATCGGGGTCATCTGGGGCCGGGCGCTTCTTCCCGTGACCTCCCTCACCCGTCATCTCCTCTCTCTCTCTTTCTCTCGAATATTTGAAAGTGTGTGATAATAAAAAAATAAGTGGTTGGATTTTTCCTAGGTGCACTGGGGTCAAGTTCAATTCGTTGCTCGATGCGGGTTTCTGGGGTGGTGACGAACGGGGAACGGGCCTTGACTCATCTCTTTCGCAGAAATCAACCCAGACCCTTTTACCCTCGCTTTGTTCACTCCCAGTCAACCAACCCTCCCAAATTTGACAGGATGACTTCTCTCGGCTCGGAATGGACCGCTCAGCGAGTCCGAGACACCTTTTTAGATTATTTCAAACAAAATGGTCACACATTCGGTGCGTTGAGCCCATTCTTTTTTTTTTTTTTGCACTACCCCTCCACCCCCGCCAACGACATGAACTGACTTGAATTCCTTCTTGGATACAGTCCCTTCCTCTCCCGTCGCTCCTTTGTCGGATCCGACCCTTCTTTTCACCAATGCAGGAATGAACCAGTTCAAGTCCATCTTCCTGGGCACTGTTGACGCCTCGTCGGAGTTTGGAAAGATGAAGCGCGCAACGAACTCGCAAAAGGTATCGGATATTCACTATCAAAGAAACATTTGAATTGGAACTGTTGCTAATACAATTGGACAGTGCCTCCGTGCCGGTGGAAAACATAACGTGGGTGTGCCTTGGTAAACCCTAGCGGGGTTCTTAAGAAGGGTTTTGGTACACTGGCTAACCTGAAACAGGATCTGGATGATGTGGGCAAAGATAGCTATCACCACGTCAGTATCGAACCCCTTTTCTGACATTTACTTGAAGAAGTGCTAACGAAGTCACCAGACCTTCTTCGAGATGCTCGGCAACTGGAGTTTCGGTGACTACTTTAAGAAAGAGGCTATCACATATTCGTGGACCCTATTGACGGAAGTCTACGGGCTAGACCCCGATCGCCTCTACGTTACTTACTTCGAGGGCAACGAAGCCGGTGGATTGGAACCGGATCTGGAAGCCAAGGAACTATGGAAATCGGTGGGCGTTCCTGAATCTCACATTCTTCCTGGGGATATGAAAGACAACTTCTGGGAAATGGGTGACCAAGGCCCATGTGGACCTTGCAGTGAAGTGCACTATGACCGGATCGGTGGACGCAACGCTGCTCACCTCGTCAATGAGGACGACCCAAATGTGCTGGAAATCTGGAACAACGTCTTCATTCAATATAACCGCGAGCCGGATAGCTCTTTGAGACCGCTTCCCAACAAACACGTCGACACCGGAATGGGCTTCGAAAGACTGGTATCCATTCTCCAGGACAAATCTTCCAACTACGATACCGATGTCTTCACTCCGATCTTCCAGGCTATCCAGGATACTACCGGAGCCCGGGAATACCGTGGCAAATTTGGCGCCGATGATGTTGATGGAATTGACACCGCTTACCGTGTTATCGCAGACCACGTGCGGACTTTGATGTTTGCTATCTCAGATGGTGTCGTTCCCAACAACGAAGGCCGTGGCTATGTTATTCGTCGTGTCCTACGCCGAGGAGCTCGATATGCCCGGAAATATTTCCAGGTCGATATCGGGAATTTCTTTGCTAAGCTAGTGCCGACTGTTGTGGATCAATTGGGCGACATGTTCCCTGAACTCAAGCGCAAACAGCAAGATGTCATCGAAATCCTAGACGAGGAAGAGTTGTCATTTGCCAAGACCTTGGATAGAGGTGAGCGTCAATTTGAGCAATATGCCCAACAGGCTAAGGTTAAGGGCACCGATATGCTCCATGGTGCCGATGTCTGGAGACTATATGACACTTTCGGCTTCCCTGTCGACCTGACCCGGATCATGGCTGAGGAACGTGGCCTCCGCATTGATGACGTCGAGTTTGAAGAGGCTCGCTTGAAGGCGAAGGAAGCTAGCAAGGGTCAGAAGAAGGCTGCTGAGGACACAGTCAAGCTTGATGTTCACGACCTAGGCAATCTGGAAAAAATGAACGATGTGCAAAAAACGGATGATTCGCCCAAATTTGGCCGAGGTAACATCACTTCCAAGGTCAAGGCTATCTATCACGGAAAAACTTTCCACAATAGCACCGACGATATTCCCGAGGGAGCGCAGATTGGCGTCATTCTCGACACTACGAATTTCTATGCCGAACAGGGTGGTCAAGAAAATGATACCGGCAAAATCATCATTGATGGACAAGCAGAGCTTGAAGTTGGCGATGTACAGTCTTATGCTGGATACGTTCTCCACACCGGCTTTATGAAATACGGATCATTCACTGTCGGCAACTCTGTCATTTGCGAGTATGATGAGCTCCGACGCTGGCCCATTCGGAATAACCACACCGGAACCCATATCCTGAATTTCGCTTTGAAGGAAATCCTAGGCGATGGTATTGACCAGAAGGGCTCCCTAGTTGCCGCCGAGAAGCTTCGATTTGACTTCTCCCACAAGAGCGCAATCTCTGATGCCGAGCTCGAGAAGATCGAAGCCAAGGCGACTGAATATATTCGACAGAACTGCACTGTTTACTCCCAAGACCTCCCGCTCGCCACCGCGCAACAAATCACCGGCGTTCGGGCCGTATTTGGCGAGACTTATCCCGATCCTGTTCGTGTTGTCTCTGTCGGTGTGGAATTGGAGGAAATCTTGCAGAATATCAAGGACCCTCGCTGGAAGGAAGTCAGCATTGAGTTCTGCGGTGGAACTCATGTTCAGAAGACAGGCGATATTAAGGATCTGATCATCCTGGAGGAGAGTGGCATTGCCAAGGGAGTTCGCCGCATCATTGCCGTCACTGGAGAGGATGCACATGCGGTGCAACGGGTTGCCGAAGAATTCGGACAGCGCCTTGATGGTCTGGATGCATTGCCTCTAGGCTCCAAGAAGGAACAGGAGGCCAAGCAAATCCAGGTGGATCTCAACCAGCTCGCAATCTCCGCCGTCGTAAAGGCCAAGTTCCGTGAACGTTTTGCCAAGATCAATAAGCAGGTCCTCGATGGCCAGAAGGCCCAACAAAAACTGGAATCGAAGAAAGCACTCGACACCATAAACTCCTACTTTGAGGCTCCTGAGAATCAAGACAAGTCGTGGCTTGTGGTTGAGCTTCCTATTTCTGCCAATGCCAAGGCTGTCAGTGAATCTCTCAACCATGTCAAATCAAAGTTGCAGGGCAAGAGCGTCTATGTTTTGGCGGGCGACTCGGAACAGGGTCGTGTTTCACACGGATGTTACATCTCTCAGGTGAGTAACATGACAAACACATTAATCTTTTCCCCACTGGATTCGGAAAGCAATGGTCAATATTGTTGTCTATGAATATTTATACTGATTTTGACACAGGGACTGAGTGACCAAGGTGCTTCCGCAAGCGAGTGGGCAGCCGTCGTCTCTGGGACCGTGGGAGGAAAAGCCGGAGGCAAGGGTCCTACTTCCATTGGTAACGGTACCAATCCTGACAAGGTCGAGGAGGCCATCTCACTGGCTACAGACTATCTGAGTAAGTTTAAGCTCTAGATCTGAGACCAAGATTCGAAGTCTTTTTTTTTGTTCGGGGATGATATCACGTCTGTGCCAACCACTATGAAGTATCAAAAAGAAATCCTGGTTATTAAAGCCATATGAAATTGATATATTTCCATAATTCAATGTCATCCATTGCCTTTCCGTAGGACGTAGTTGTCTCCAATCATTACATCTCTCCGCATTGCACAATTGTTACATCTTGGTTAGGCTTATCCTTAGTGGTCCGGGTGTGTTCAACCATTTTGACGATATCCATCCCATCAATCACCTGGCCGAAAACCACATGCTTGTTGTTCAAGAATGGTGTGGCCGTGGTTGTTATAAAGAATTGGCAACCATTGGTATTTGGACCCGAATTCTGTTGTGGTCAGTAAAGAGTCCCTTTTTCGTCTAGATAGATATCTCAGTCATGGCATGTTCAAACTTACAGCCATACTTAATAAACCGGGACGGTCATGTGTGAGTGTAAAATTTTCATCGGCAAATTTCGAGGTGCCGTAGATGGTGCATGACCCAGTTCCATCGCCATTGATGAAATCTCCACCCTGGATCATGAAATCTTTGATCTATAGCGAGCATTAGTTCCAAATCGATCTTCAAGAAGCTTCATTACATACCACTCGATGGAATTTGCTTCCCTTGTACCCCTGGGGCTGTCCCTTGGGATTCTTGCTCTCGCCAGTGCAGAATTGACGGAAATTCTCTGCAGTTCGGGGGAGTTATATTGGCGAACAACTCCATTTTCACTCGACCTAGAGATTCGCCTGTATTGAATATATTTAGCAGAGACTTCGTCATGTTAAAGGACTACATAGATGCCGTAGGCATCATAGCATGCAAATAAGTGAACTGACCTCCAAGGGCGATATCAAAGAAAACTACTGGGTTAGGTTGGGCCATAGTGAGATGGAGTTTCAGATATGCTGAGAGGGACGTGTGTGATAGATGTCCCTCACAGGTGAAGGGCGGCAGGTACGGAGCGGTGTAGCGGCCATGTGACCGTTGTTTAGGGATAATATCATTTTAGGGCAAACAATACGTCTATATACATACTAGAGGGAAAAGAAGTAGAAAATAGAGAAGATAGTGAAAATGGTGTGAAATGCAAACGTCTCTATATATAATATATGATGTAGGGCAGTATATCAACATCTCTTCAATTCAGTCTATATCAATTTTTAACAATCTTCTAAGAACTGATAGTGAACTAAAACAGATTTCATAAATCGCAATATACTTGAGGTTCATGCACTGTGTACTACCTTGCATACAAATTAGAGTACAGTGGGGAGTACCTACTCCGTATATTGGTTTATATAGATTTCGAGAGTGGCCAGGCATATATATATGTGTTAACCCGATAATGTATTTGCACCAAATAAAAAGATTCAGACATCCTAGTGTTGCTAAGAACGTTTAGATCGTTAAAGGTGATTGTATGGATGCATCCGTGTGCGACAATTACCCCAAATCGAAAGAAAAAAAGGGGGGGCAAAGACCCTGTCTCATCCCTGTTAATGCACAAGTACCCTACACCTCTGATTTAGTTCTCAATCCCTGTCAATCGGAGGTATCTTCGACTTACAATACAAAGTCCCGTGATTCCAAGCCTCAGGTGTCGGTCCCGCATGCGTCCTTAAATCAACCGGGCTCCATCCTGCCCTGATCCACTTTCCCTCTTTCTCGCTCTCTTCGCCTCAGGTGTCCTCTACTATTGCTGATAATGATATGAGATCCACTCTCACCTTTCACATCATCTTCGCAGGAAGTTCTGTGTGCTCTACTTACGGTCGCTCATCCATGATAGGCCATCAACTCTAATCAAATCATTCATCCTATCGCATGGGATACACACCCTCGGATCGTCCCTATTCCACCTTTTGGTCACCTTAGACTTAAATCTGCTCGAGTCAACCCCGAAATCTACATGCAGGGCTGCCCTGTACACACAATTCAAGGCATGAAGCATCAACCTCGGGGCAACTGAGACTCCAATAATCAAGTGGCCACGTTCCGAGTGGGATCAGTGCGGCTATTTTCACATCGACTTTGAGTCGGAATGTCTTCAACGCCAACCTCGGCCTCTAGTAGTGCTGCCACCACAACTGCTAGTAGCAGCGGAGAGGGCTCGGGCTCGAATAATGCTACAAGCTCACCATTATTGTTCTTCGTCGCTTTAGGGTTCGGTGTTGTGTTCACAAATCTATGGTATGTCGCTTCAAATTGCCTCTGTGCAAGCCAGCTCTCAAGCGTTTCAGGGGTGACATCTGACAGTTAGTCTAGGATCATTGTTGGAGTTAAATACTGCTTTCGATATAACCAACGAAACCGTCAGCTCCGCAGCGAGGAAGTAGGAGAGCCCATAGACTTAGTCGCCATGCCACGTGCTCATCGCAGGAGAAGGGAGAAGAAGCTAATGACGATGGATGAAGTCAATGGGCGGTTCCCACTTGTCAAGTACAAAGTGTGGAGATCATCTCGTGCCAACCAAGGTCTTTCAACAGAAGGAGGTATCACAACCCCGAATAGCAGGCCACAGAGCCTCAAGGGTGAAAGTGGTATCGTGACAACAGCGGTCGGGGTTCACACAGCAGCAATACCATCCTCCAAGGGCCATGAACGTGTGGATTCCAATGATACATCAGAAACCCATATTCAAGAACTGCATGATGATCCTCCGGCGCAGACTTTGGAGCAGAAGAGTCCCACAGTATCCAGGATGTCTTCTACTCAGCAATGCACTGATGCAGGTATCCAGAAAGAGAAATGGCAACATTCTTTGACCAATGAAAACATGAACATTGATCTTGACGACCATGATGGTGATGCCTACATTCGTAACGCTGTTCCCGCTGATCTTCTGCCCAACCCTGGCGATTCTTGCGCGATTTGCCTAGATATCATCGAGGACGATGATGATATTCGGGGACTTATATGTGGACATGCTTTCCATGCCTCATGCGTCGATCCCTGGCTGACTAGCAGAAGGGCATGTTGCCCGCTGTGTAAGGCCGATTACTATGTCCCTAAACCCCGTGCACAGACCGAAGCACAGTCCACCACAGACCGCCAGGGTCGTCGTACGGACGCGACTGGCGTGGATGAAATTCTCAGACCTCCTCGAGTTGCTTGGAATAGTGGCAGGGGAAATGGATGGGTTCAAATGGGCTTCCCTAGCCGGATATTTCAACCTACATCCCAAGAGGAAAGAGAAACCCCAGTGCGAGAACAGCATGTGCGGAATGGGCGCGATCAGCCTTGGGACTCGGTCCATGCCTCGCATCCCCCGGGTCAATCTACCTGGTCTCGATTGATTCCCAATCGGCTCCGCCACCTTCCCTTCCATTCTTCGCCAAGAAGATTGCGCACACCACCTGAAGTTGGGACATCGTCTGTGGATCCTCTGCCTTCAGAAGGACGCACACCTCGTCAAGTCGAAGCTGGTACCACATGACAGATCTCTCCCTCCTCTCTTTTTCATACCCGTTCACGATTTGGCTAATCCGCACCACACTCTTATACCGTTACCACATCTGGAATGTTGGCTGGAGTTTTATTTTCCTTGTTTATGACTTGACTTGATATGTGTAATTTATCGATTTTTGCGTGACTGGACCGGGGCGCACATGGATCATGACGCCTTTTTTTTCCTTTTCTTTCGGTTGGATATTTATGAATTGTCTCTGTCTTCCTCTCACGCTATCTTCTACCACGAGGAACTTTGTCCTATGGTACTATTGACAGCCACTGGTTCCCCCTGATTCTTGGTCCATTTAGCGGGCTGAATGGATTGCCCATTGATTGAAAGTCTATATATCTCTGGGTGCACAACACCGGAATACATACTGGGTACTGTTTTGTACATGTTATACAACATATTCTTTGATGAAGCTGTGTGCCCCCTAGACTATGTAGTCTGCGCCACCTTGTATGCATGTACTGTTATATTTATTGAACCTTCCAAGCACGGAAGTTTCTCCTTGATGCAATGTAGCGCAAGGAGAGAGTATAATATAATCAGGAACAAAAGTAAATTTGCTTATACATAGTGGCTGAGGGATTGAGGTAAATAACATGAAGCCCTCCAGGGCAGACCCCCTAAAAAGACGACAAAAGAAAGAAAAACACCCTCTAACACCTACATAGCTTTCCATATACTCACATCTGGGATTTAGGACCTCCTACACCTGCGCTGATGACACTGGGTAGCTCCTGTGAGCCCATGCTGAAAAGCATTCCAATCGCACTACCAGCGAGAACGATGGCAAGCAGACTGATGCCTCCAACAAGGAAGAAGGGTGAGCTGATGTCTCTTTTCTGGCAAGCCGCTCCACCCCACCGAATCTTCTTGGTGGTGCCATCGCTATTTTGAACAACAGTTTCCTTGCATCGACATGCATAACAATTGCCTACACTTCCCTCAACACCTGAGCCGTATTTTCGATAGCAGGAACCGTGCCCAGAACAGTCATTGGTAGATTCGACACAGGATGAGTTTGAAGCATGACAGACAGGCGCCAAGGTTGAGTGCAGCGGGGAGGTGGAATGCGGGGTCGACCTCTTGAAGGCATTCTGTTGCGCAGCGCCTGGTGTTAATGATTGCTTCGGGCCGCGGGGGCTGGATCCTTCTGATTTGACACCAGGGGGTAGAACGATCGTCGTGATTTCCGTGTTGCTTCCCGATGATAGTTCGGATAAGTGAAGAAGCAATGTCTCTAGGAGTTTGGTTCCAAGAAGAGAATCACTAGGGGCTTTCTGCAATTGGTGACGTGAAATCAGAAATCGTTCGCTAGCCAGAGAGGGGAAAGCTCGATACCTTAAAGGATAACTTCAAAGCTGAATCCTTGTGATCCTTGCTTATCCAAGATTCCACTGAATCAACTGTTGTAAGGAAGTCACGGGTAAGCAAATCAGACCCATCAGCAAACATGGGGTCCTTGGATAAGCAGTCTTTAGGAGTCTAATATAATTGAAAGATTAGCGTGGCAACGTGAGGAATATAAAAAGACGGCTTTGTTACCTGGGATGTCGATGATGCAGCCCTGCTAGCACCGTTGAAGTATGTACAGAACTGTCCACGGTCTTCTTCCGCAGTGGAACTGCTTTCGATGAATGATTCCAGAAGGTCATCACCGATAAATGGCGAGGAAATTTGTGGGATACGGAGGTGGTTCGGTTGGGCCTTTTGCAATACTAGGGCTGCACGGACGTTAGCTAGAGCTTCCAGTCGAGTTGTGAGTCCGCTTCCACCTACCAACTTCGTGATCGACCCCTTCCAGAACAAGAATGCTTTTTTTAGAAGCAGAATCCCCAGTAGCTCCCCCAAAGAGAGTGAGATCGTCTTGAGCAAATTGATTCAATCGGTTCACAGTGTCTGCATTCACAGTTCCGAGGATTGATGCCACAGAGGACTTCATGCGAAGCTCCAAGATAAGCCGGGCCTCATCTTCTGATATTGTTTGTTGTTGAGAATTATCAGTTAAAGGTGTTGCAGCCTTGGGAGGAAACGTGAAGATCGTAGCATCCAGCGCAGTTGCTTGCAATGCACCCGTTAATCCCAGGGCAAGGAAGGCAGACACCCAGCGCATATTGGAAGGATCAGGAGGGCGGAAGGTAAGGCAAGACTATTTTGGCAGATGTGGCGATGCCCACATCAAGATCCTGCTCTAGGGGTATCTAGAGTTTTGTTGGGTACGACAGCGAGGAGTCAAGGACACAATACCAATTGGTAGTGGACGACTTGGGGGACGCCCGATAAGATATCACAAAGATATCACGTGATCCATTGTATGCACAGGTACAAAAGCTCTGGCGAATGCGTTTACTATATGACCTCTAGATGTAATACACATGTTATTAACTTCTAACAGAAGATGTTGTTCGTGTGTCCTAAGGGCTCATCATATGAAGGCCTACAAATTTTTGTGGTGTATATGTATAGTAGCATTTAGACCACAGGCTTCCAACCCGGGGGCTGCAACGAACGCATGTTACATAATCGACGAAAGTGCCTAGGTAGTCCGTCGCCATCGACAATCTCGCAACACAAATCCTCGCGCATATCAGGCTTCAAGGATTTTGTCCATCCCTTCTTCCGAATTGAGATGATACTCTAGTGAGAATCATTGCAGGGATTGGCTTTTCCCAATGCTCCGGCTCAGGTATCTGCTTCGAAGTCCTCTCGCGCGCTCGTCCCTCTTTAGGCCTACACACGCTCGTTCCAACTTCTCAAAACCAGAAAATGTGCGACATGTGAGATTTAGGCGGCCTTGGATTAGGTAAGGAAACCCATTTCAATCCAACTCAAGGCTTCTTTGGTCAGACTGACGCAGAATCCCGCAGGTCCTTCATATCCAAATGTCTTCTGTACGGCACCGCCTTCCACCTCTGGAGCACCTTCGTCCTGGTACGATTTGACGACGATACCGATGACGAGGATATTCCTCCTGTGGCCAAATCCTTGGAGACAGCCCCAGGTCAAACCTCGAGAAGCGGTAACATCACCGGGAAAGAGGTCGAAAACGAGGGTGCGCTGTTCATACCGCTTTCCTGGTCTAGGTTGCAACAAGGTGAGCTATACGCTGCATCCGATCCAGAGTGGCAAGAATTTGTGAAAGTATCCAAGGATCGCAAAAAGCTCCAGAGGCTGAGAGGTGAGAAATTGTTTCAATCATTGTTCAAGATCATTCGCTTACGAGTCCAGACGAACTCGCCCAACTTGTCTTAAATCATGCGGGGAGGCAGATGACACATATACTCGGGGAGCCTCTCTCCCTCACAGGATTCTGGCTTGTCCATCAGTTTCCAACCCGTGCCCCTCCTGGATATGTGCGATCTGGGTATGTACTATTGATTCTAAAAGCTTGGATGTTATATTGACGGTAGACAGCTTGGAGGTTAAAGACGGCAATATATCATGGGTGACAAGGCCGATGGACCCCGAGATAGGTGACAGATTACAGACCTTCATGAAACCGATTCATGTTGCTCTAGCAATCAGAGATGCGTATTTGATACTATTTCTAAGGCAACTAGATCGTTTCAGGAACCCTGAAGGAGAGCCACTGGATGGCTTTGGTCTTCCGAATAATTCTTCTGCCGCGCCTGGTGACGAGAGCGCGAACTGGATTGGCCAGAACGATCAATCTAAGCTACAACCGCCTCTGGCAGACGGACTTAATGAAAACATGCCGCTGAATACCGAGAATACCAACTACCACCCATCCTCCGTTATATCTTTATTACAGCGGTTACCTTTACCAGACCTCGGCCCGGGGTCAGAACTGCACTTGGCATCACAGGCATTCAAATTACGATTGAACCATGAAGAGGCCTTAGCGCCAAGATCTGCTCGCCGTGGAGCTTTCTTTATCTCGGGCCCAGTTGGGCTTAAGGGGCCTCATGGGTTTTGCCGATTTGAAGTGAGCGGCGAGTATGATCCAGCAAAGCGTGAATGGCGAACAGTGGAAATGACGCTAAAGGATCTGAACATGAGGAAACAGAAGGCATTGGGAAGTTGATCACATATACCCAGGACTCTCAAGGAGTTTTATCTCAAGGCACATAACATGTCAGGGTCCCCTCAGGCTCACGAAATGGGGATTGACCTCAAAAAACATCTTGCCCTTTGTATGGACACCATGTAAATACATAGTTCTCGCAGTTATTTAAGGGCCCTACACACTTTTGACACCACTTCTAGGTACGGTGACTGAAAATAAATAATGTATATGCATAAGAAGCCATAGGATTCTGAGTTGAAAATGCTCTGTATGAGCCTTGATCATCTCCGTGATTTCAACGTGATGAATTAGCCGAGTGACAAAAACGACTGACTACATAGTGAAGTTGTAGACTGTGTGGGAATGTGTGGGAATGGATGAGAGAATTTACTTGATTTGTTAATCATGAGTGAACTATCCGGGAGGCAACTAAAGCTGGAGACCAAATAACCAACGACACTAAGTAGATGGCTTGGGGATGCATCTATCTTTCCGCCCCCTTGCAAATACTTGGTCTCTTTGCTTCCCCTCTGACATCGGCTAAAGGGACGGGCCCAGTAGAGGAGGTCTAGGTCTTGGTCACGGTATTCTTCAATGAAGGATAACTTGACTGAGGGGATTTTTCCAGATACTCACACCAAGTCCAGGGGGCGATGAAGCGCGGCACCAGTAGCAACCTCACCACCATCCAGTAGGGAAAATCGTCGGCCAAAAAAATCCATTTGATGGTCCCGCTAGAACAGCCCAGGCGTCCGCGACAAGAGAGATGTTGGTCTTTCGTATGGCATAATAGAGAGAGGGCCTGGCCCCGGGGTCTAGCGTGTCAATGAAAAGGCGGACAAGGAGAAAATGAAACTTGGTCTCATTCCAGTACTTCAATTGTGAAGCTTTTGTGGACGCTAATGAGCAATAGTGCGAACGCGTGCGCCTACAACCATAAAGCAATGTCTTCTCAACTGCTCATATTTCCAAGCACAACGCCGCCGATCAGATCAATGACTAACTTATTGTTGCAGAGGGGGCTGGTAGTTGAGTGGGCGCCTATAAGGCAGTTAGTGAGACAGTCGAGGAAACCATTCGCAAATAACCTACTTGAACAATAATATATGAGGTTCTGGTTCATGCACCTCGTAATGCTCCCATCCCAAGCTCTGCGCGTGCATTGTTAGAACTCATACACACCTCGAGATTATGTCCAACATACTTGTGTGATACCCAGAGCCCGCCATTCCTCCTCCCAAAGCAATTTCAGAGTTCCCTTGGCGCTGTCGAAGTAGTCTGCGGGGATTTTTTTGAGCATGTTCTTCGGGAGCTGCACATGGCGGTATTCGAATTTGTCGTCGTTGTATCTATATAGAGGGGTCAATGGAGAGTCCGGCGCAATAGCATTGGGTCCTCACCTTGCGGAGTAGTGAATAGAGTCCACGAATTCATCAAGCTTCTCGCGCTCCGTCTCCAAGAGGAGGCGGGGCTTCTTGTTGCGCCTAGCTGGGTCGATGTCCATTGTGATAGCGGAATGAGAAGAAATGGCAATATAAGATCTCCTATACACACGGGTCGTCAGGATAGGTATGTTCCATGTGTCCAAGCAACAAGGGCAAAGTAAACAAGTAGATTGAGGATGCGCCTCACAATGTGGCTCAATGATTATCGCATGTAGCGACAACGGAAACGTACGCTCACAGGGCTCTGATAGAGACCCGATGCTTATGTAAGATAATTTGATATTGGGGAATCAAAGTATCGAGGATGAGTGATCAGGCGAGAGTGTGACGCGATAGAGAAAAGAGGTGCGAGTTGTAGAAACAACAATCACCGGGACTTGTTTTGCGGGACTCGGGAAAATAGTGGGGGGGGAAACAACCACTTGGTGCCTCAGGTGTCAGCCCAATGAGCTCCAGTCACGTGGTGGGGACTCAGGCTTGCATTTGCAGTACGTAATGAGTACCAGAATTACACAGTATTAAGACCAGGGATACAGGATTTACATACGTAAAGCATTTGAGCTTACATTCAAGCCCTGAATATTGGTACCTGTAACGGATGATACTGTCTGGTATCATAAACACGTATCTATGATACATGGATACCCCCCGAGGCCACCTTACCTAAGGCGGGATGGCTCCGCCGACGCGTCTACAACACGTCTTGAGATGAGGAATGTCTATGCGAATACCTCCCTTTACCATATTCTATCACTACTTGTAATTCTTTCAATCAATTTGCCCCTCCATTAAATCCGTATTTCCACTTCTACTGTGGTATTCGGTCACAGATTAGGTACCATCTTCAATGTGTGACTCAACTCGCGACTCGGGACGTTATCAGAAGTAATCCAAGATGACCTCAAAACGACGAGCCGCTGCCGCAGCTTCCCCAGATATGAAGTTTCGTAGAACGAAACGACGAAAGGTTTCCGTAAGTATCAGACAATTGAATAAGAGTTCGCGACATTGTGATTTTGGCAGCTCGACCTGCACTGTTCGAATGTCATTCACTATCCTACATTGGTTCTTTGAGTGTATAGATCGGATCACATATTTCAATTGCTAATTCAATCGGTACTGCGTGTAATAGGATGATGATATCATTACCGAAGAGTCCAATCGTGCGTCGTCGCATCTGGACTCAGAGCCACCAGAGGAGCCAGATCAAACTCCGGAGTCGCAGGCCGAGTCCGAGGCCGAGGCGGATTTTGAAGGTGATAGTCTTCAGACTGCACAGGACAAGATTATGTCCGAGCTGACACGGCTCAAAGACTCCGAGTAATTATTACTGATCCTGATCCTTTGCTCCATGCTGATGACCCGAACTAGTGGCGAGGATGTTTCTTACCCGTTCATTGGCAAACCAGATCGGAATATCTACCGAGACTATTATGAGATCATTCAACATCCCGTGTCCTTACGGAGCATCCAAAAGAGAGTTCGCGGTACAGACAGCAGGAAGAATTCATCCAGGACCACCGCATATCCCACCTGGCAGTCATTTGAAGAAGAGGTCAGCTATGTATGGCGAAATGCTAGAGAGTACAATGAAGATGACAGCGATATCTCTATTCTTGCGGGGTTTTTGGAGGTAAGCTTATTCTGCTACGGTTCAGCCTTTCCCTTCAGCACGCTGACATTTGGGAACCAGGATCACTTCCGCCGACGGGTTGCGGAAGCCAAAAAGCTTGTTCCGGATCCCCTTCAGGTAGATGGAACCCCTGAGATGCCTCGCATCAAATTGAAAGTGGGCACACCTGTGCCCCCAGTGGCGCAGAGGTTAACCTTGAAAATGCCTGGACAGAGCTCCGATACACTATCCAAGGACGATGGACAACCCTCAGATGTCACATTCAAGAACGAATCCCAAGGCCCTAAGCAAGACAATGCCGGAGCTGGATTAGCACCCCAAGAAATCACTAGATCTCATCGAGGATGGTCTCATGGGGGGCAACTTGACAGTCCCAGGTCTAGCACCACAGCCACACCATCCGGCTCGGAGCAACAACAGAACGGTTCTATGAGTGCCCAAGGCCTACCGAGCTCGGCAACAAACACAACCGCCGTGGCCATGTCCACTTCGCAAAATCCGCCCAATGCGTCTTTTGATGTCTCTTCGGATGTCACCCGGCATTCATCTTCAGCTTCTGGTATGTTACGCTTAGTTGATATTTTGTCGCATAGCGCAAGTGACACTCGGCTTCCAGCCTTTGCTGACCCCTTGTTAGCCTACCAGCCGCATCTTAATCCATCGCCCATGGATTCGCTTCTGAGGCGACCAGGCCAAGGTTCGACTCACATCGAATTCAATTGAATTTGTAGCTAACTATGAACCAGATCCAAAGATGGCTCTCATTCGCAACGTTCAGATATCTACGCATCCCTCTTTGTCGTTGCAACACGACTTCTGCTTAGATATCCCGCCTTCGTCGCTTGTTTCGCAACAGAATATCACAATCCATCTCCCTCCATCGCACAATGTACTGACAGTCAGGCCTCGTTTAGCGCCCAGTACTTCCCAGCGGCAGGTAAAAATTGTTGCACTCATGGGTATGCAGCGTCTACATCCATCTGGCGATGCCAATACACTCTCATATGATATACATCTGCACCCTGGCATGACGAAGGTTGACTTGGAAGCTATTGCTGGGCCGGCAAGAGGAGTCCCGAAATCTGGCCCCCTGGGTCAGATGTTGATTATGAACGCGTGACTCTATTCTTCAATCTGCTACGTTAAAAGTCATGCCAAATGACTAGCGTTGATCGATAAAGGGGTGGTTATATGTACAGTTGAATTCTAGATATCAAGCTTTTGACGATGCCATTCATGGATCTTTTTTTATATCGCTGCTTGATTGGTATTACATTTTAAACATTGTATTGCAACCATGAAAGATCCTTCTTATATCTAAGGAGCTCATTTTCTTCATGACAAGCGGACATTAATATTTTAACATTATACTGACGGTACTACCGAGGTTATAGTAGAGCCTCAGGCAGTCTCTAGTACGATCAAATGGGTGCAAGGAAGAATTAGTATGAAGGTTTCCATGGATTTTGTGACAGCCGGGATAGGTAGACCTTGGTATTCTCGTATACCAGGAAAGTCACCCACGTGCTTGGAAGTACCCGGAACAGATTTGGACCAAGACCCTTATAGAAACCTGCAATCCCTTCTTGGGCCCATACCTGGAAAATGACATCAATAGCCCCGCGGTAAATCAGATGGGCCTGATAAGTTTGCAACCGGGACCTAATTACTTGGTAAGGATACGTCACACTGCCAGCGAAGACTTTTGATAGACCGGAGATGGCAAAAAAATCAACATTACCCAGCGCCCGTTCGGCTCCCAAATGGCTGCTCTCAGTTGAGCCGGTATTCATCGACCGAAGTCTGAAAAGCTTCAACTGCTCATATGCCATAAACTGAAGGGCACCGTGGCTGACACCAAACAGGGCTGGTACGAGACCTCGGTAGAAGCCGCGTATTCCTTCCCCTTGGTATATTTGTTTTGCCCCAGAAGCAAATGAAGAATACGCCCCTGGAGCCTGGGAACCCGTTGACAACATGCGAGTTTTGATCACCCAGATTGGATTGGTGAGGACCGACGTAATAACACCTATGGAAGTCCACAGGTTAATGAAGGAACAGAAGAACGACATTTGATAGGACATGATATGTGTATACCTGCACTGCCAGATGCGAGAAGATAATCAGACGATGTGAGAATCTGCTTCCTCTGCTCACGATGCTTTCGAATGGTATCCTTCAGGCTGCTGTAGCATAAGAAGTACAACCCCCAACTTGTGGAATTTCCGATGAGATTGGGAGAAAGTCCGCGGTAAAAAGCAGCATAGCCACCCTCATTATAGAAGATCTTGCGAATGATTCGCAGTGAACCCCCAAATCGGGAAGATGATCGATCGACTACATATATCAAAACAAATTAGTTACTATATACCCCAATTGGAGCTAATAGAATACTGAAGCTTGCCTTGTAACCTTGTTTTGATCATGTCAAGAGGATGTAGCGATAGAGTTGACACAATTCCCGCTGTGAATCCCGCTACGGTCTCCACAAAGGATGTCGAGAAGGCATCTTGACCAGTCATGAACCTGCCTCCAAAGAAGATGGGATTTGAACACACAGAGACAGATATGGAAGGATGGTGTGTATGGAAAAAGATATCAGAGGAAGATAAGAAAGAAGATGAGATCGGGAATGGATATCCCGAGGATATCAGAACATGTGACCGCCGAGTAACTCCGTACAGACCGAGTACTCTAGTAACATACAGAATATACGTTCTTATACTGATTTTCTTTTCCTTTATTTATACAAAGCCCAGTGTTTACTCCGAATTATCACAAGGTCACAGCATTTCCGTACCAAAGACAAATATTCGGCCAAAGACTTAAAAATACAAAATCATCCAGCTTTCACAAGCTTCAAAAAGTGATATCCAGATATTCAAACCCACCACCCCTCACAGAGGGTATGGTCAAAGGGTCATCCAAGAATATACTGGGGAATCTCCACCCCATCCACATATCCCGTATCGTTTCTCCAGCCAACGCGTAGTTTAGGCGAGGGGCGAGAACAATCTGGGTATGAAGTTAGTAATGACGGCTGGAACCCAACGAGTTGAGCAGCGTACCTGAACAATGTGGGCTTGGGCTCGCTGTAGGTGTAGCCTGTTTTCTCGTTGTTAGCATATTGCGCTGAGAACGTCAAAGGGGGATATACATACCCAAATAGACAATCAGAGGCAAGTATCCGCTAGATGGTTATCGCCGGTCAGCTCGGAGGGTGGCATGTAGGTGGTATAGGGCTCACTAGTGAATTGCCACGCGAGAAATATCAATGACCTTCGAGACGCGCTCCTAAATAAATTGAAAAAAGAGAGTTAGAGACCTGGTCTTAAGATGAATGGACGATCGGGGTTGCGACTAACCTTGGTCTCCTCAGAGAATTGAACCATTGTGAATTTATGAAGCTGAAGTTGGAGGGTTTCAAAGGGACCAAGAGGAATGACTTGATATCGATTCAGATTCGATCCGGGTGAATAGTGGGAGATATGGTTGATAGATGAAGTGGAAACGGGGAGGGTTCGCGGAATCAAAAGTTTTCGGGAAAGGTCACTGATCCTCACCTCCGGATTTCCTGCACCTCAACACCTTCACACTTCACTACCTTTCTACTTCCCCTCGGTCTACTTTGTTGGTCTCCTACCAGCTAGATTTTTCTAGCCAATTGATTGCACGTGGATATTTGACTTCTTTTCCTTTAGGGGGAGCTTTTTTCCCCTCCCTTTCTCACTCCAACTAATTCACCATGTCCAACGCAAGGCATTGGTAAGATCATATTTCCTCACCCCAGAGCCCCAATGCTAACTCAACCCAGGGAACAAGATAAGGAGGCAACCGTGTACATCGGAAACCTCGATGAACGGGTCACAGACAGCCTGGTATGGGAACTGATGCTGCAGGCCGGGCGCATCGTTAACGTTCACCTTCCCAAAGACCGAGTCACGCAGCTACACCAGGGATATGGATTTGTTGAGTTCATCAGCGAGGAAGATGCCGAATATGCATCGAAGATCATGAATGGAATCCGTCTACATGGCAAACCCATTCGTGTTAACAAGGCGTCAGCTGATAAGCAAAAGACCGTGGAAATTGGCGCAGAGCTGTTCGTGGGCAATCTTGATCCTATGGTTGCCGAGCAAGTTCTCTTTGATACATTCAGCCGGTTTGGTAACCTTGTCAATCCGCCTAAAGTGAGATTTCTCCCTTATACCAGCAAGATGGACATTGTTAACAGCCTTTTTATCATAACAGATTGCGCGCGATGACAACAATCTCTCTAAAGGATATGGATTTGTTTCTTTTGCCGATTTCGAATCATCGGACGCAGCTATTGCCAACATGAATGGGCAGTACCTGATGAACAAACAGGTTTCGGTACAGTACGCATACAAGAAGGATGGGAAAGGCGAGAGACATGGTGATGAAGCGGAGCGAATGCTGGCAGCCCAGGCTCGGAAGCATAATGTACAACCGCCGACTCAGCAACCTCCTCAATTTCCCGGCGCTCCTCCGGGCGTTCCAGCAACGCCTGCCATGTCCAATGGCGACATCTCTCGACCTTTGAGCACAGCCCCGTCACACACACCCGACTTGGGTATGAATCGGGGTATGCCACCAGTTATGCCCTACCAGAACGCACCCCCTCCAATGCCCTACCAGGCCGTCCCTCCTCCAAGCCGACATGTTCCACCTCCCGTCCCTTCACTCAATACCCCACCTCCAGGGCTCCCAGCCCGACCTCCGCCTTCCCAGGCTGGCTACGGCGGCCCACAGGCATTCTTACCACCTGGATTCAATGGTGCAGGTCAACCGCCCTTCGTCCCACAGGCTGCAGCTCCCCCTGGGTTTGCGCCGCCGCCTGGATTTGGACCTCCAGCTGGGGCTCCTTCATTGCCACCGGGCTTCCAACAGCCTGGATATGGAGGCAACCGGTGATCTCAAGTGGCATTTTGTCTTGATGATCCCTACCCCACCAAAAGTTATGCGCTTGTCACTATGGACGGTGGTGGTTTTTTTTTTATATGATTTGACGACCCAAGGGCCAAAGCGCTGGTCCACGTGTTTGATGTTCTCTATTGCTTGGTTACCTCAAATCTGTTTATGTGGGGGTGGATCAAACTGTGCCTCGGCGCTGGCTGACTATTGGCAGCGCTGGATGGTAATATGTAATACTAAGTGTTTACTTGACACGGACAAAACAAACGGACTTGTTGTATTTTGATAACACATCGACCTAATAGGGTTCAATTGCCAAGGATCATTCACAGAGACAAGAAATGCACCAGCCAATGTGGTAAATCGTAGTACCCCGAGCGCTCCGATAGCGAAGGCGACATATTACTGCGCAAAAGCCGTGGTCCCTGCTTGTATGGGCTCTGCTAGCAGGATGACCGCCCCGAAAGTGGTGAAAAAACCAAGCTAGAACTGGTGATATGTCTGTAGGCGAATCACGAAAACGAGACGAATTTGGGGTCTCTTGGCCGGCCGTCAGGTCCGATGTTATTCTTTGCAAATCGCTGCTCCGTGTAAATTCTGCGCGCTTCATCAAAGTTGACCTTGCGATTCTTCATGATTTTCTTCACCTCGGTCTTTGCTCGTTGATCCAAGCCAGCCCTCGAATCCCCATCTGCAAGATTTGCAGTAATGTCGAATTGTGACGAGCTTAGGCCGGCTTCGAGATCAGCGGTGAAGCTTGAGGGAAGACGGTGATAAATATAATCAGGCACTTGGACTAATGGCATCCATCGTGACCGTGTGAGATATAACGCTATGGTGCAATTAGGACCAAATCCATTATGAATGATTGCTTTGTTTCCTTTAGATCTGGAAGGACACTTTACTTACCTGTCCCGCCGATAATAACTGAAAAGAGTAGGAAATAAAAAAGAATGTAGGTCATGATGAGGGATACTGGTGAAGATTCCGGTGTGGAGTGGTAAGGTAGTATAGAAGCTTTGCGATATTGCGGCAAGGCGTTGGCGCTCTTTGAGGGTATTCACTAAGAAAGAAGTAAGGAATGAAGTGTCACATCAGGCAAAAAGCCATCGATGAAGAAGGCATGTGAAGATTAGAGTGGTTGTTACTAGAAGAAAGGGCCCGGAGGGGGCAACGTCAGCATCGCGTTCATATTATTGGCAGCCTGGAGGTCGCCGGAAGCTGTCAGTTCTGCCTTACTAAACAGGTGATAAGGCATCCAGGCATCCAAAAGCTCAGACATCAGATTATTAAGTCAGCAAGGCACCAAGGCACCAAGGCTATTCCGAAAGTAGCCGCCTTAGCGAGACCCCGTCCAATCTGAGGTCTTGGCATTCGAGACACACACAATTGGATCGACGTGAAGACGGTTTTGATAGCGATTTCGATCTTTCATTCTCCAACTCAGTATCCCCTCATATCACAATGGCCTCCTCAAACATCTCCAACGATCTGGTCTGGCAGATCACCCGTACGTCCGACCCTGCGCATTTTTTCCATTCGAATTTTCATGTCAAAGCTTTTGCAAACCGAACTCGAGCTCATCAATTGGAATAGGTAACCAGAACTCCTACCTGGTTAACCGCAACTCCGGCGGTGGCTTCCAGTTCTCCCGCGACCCCCTCAACTTGGTCAACAAGCACTCCTTCAAGGTACGGGACATATCGGGGATTGAACGGAATGGATGAACCTCTTTTGGAATGGATGGCTAACAACGGTCTCTTTTGGCGCATTATAGTATGCCGGTTTTGCCAACAACAAGGTAATTATACTCTGCACTGCTGGTGTTTTCACTCTTATTTGAAAGACATATGGCGCTAACTATTCTATTCAGGCTGTCGGTGTCCAGGCTACTGACAACGGTGTCGCCGTGACCACCAAGAAGCCCAGCAACCCCAACCAGCCCGGCCAGAACTTGGTTACCGTGACTTACGGCCCCAAGACCTCCACCCGCAAGTAAGCGAAACCCCATCTCTTTTTGCATTAAGACATACAGTATATACAATCTTATGTCACTTTCTCAATCCCGTGCTAATCTTTATTCTCAATACAGGATCTTCAAGGGTGTTGCCGACCGTACCGCCAAGAACAACTACCGTGCCGATCTCCGCGAGGAGGCCGTTGCCCGTGTCAGCGCCGTCCGCCGCAGCCAGCTCCCCAAGAAGGATACTCCTGCCAAGAAGGCCCGTGGCTCCAAGGCCAAGAAGGCCGAGGAGTCCGAGTAAATTTGTCTCGATACAAGGATGAATTGTGGACCATGAAGGATCGGGGATCTGGGGGAGATGGGAGACTAGATAGGCGTATGTGAAACGCTACACTGGACTTGAAAATCCATAATCTAGCAATCTTGCTCCAAGGACAAAAAAAAAACACAAAACCCGTGTCCGAGACCTTCTAAAGCAAGAGAAAACAAATTTCCAAAACTAATACCGGATAAAAGTAAAATTGATTCACTGAACAACCGACTGGTCGGCCCGAGCCACAATGGCCGGGTCGTATATTTTGAATATAGAGTCCGCCTTTTCCCGATATGACGTCCCGATGACCCGGGGGAATCCTCGGGTGGAACTGCCTAGGTATTGATTAAGAGAATACCTCGGAAGAATAGCCGGAGAGTCTGGAGAAAGGTCGAAAGCTGTAGTGAGCTTGTAGAGAGATCGAGGAAGGATGATATTGAAGAGTAGGTATAGAAAATGATAATGGATAAAGAAGAAATATAGTAAGGTAGTAAAGGATAGAAAGAATTGAAAGTACATATATATATATATCTAATATATATAAGTTAATAGGGAAAGTCTTACATGTGCAAAAGCCGATGTCGTACATAAGAGTGAGAGTCTGGGGTTGCCCCTCTCACCGGTGCCTGCCCCTCTTATAAATCGGACCGTTCCCCTTCTCTCCTTCCCTTCCCCCATCTTTCTCTCTCTCACACATATCACTCATCATGGTCAAAGCTGGTATGTTTGCATTCGGCTTGGTACATCATTTGCTAATTTAGTAGTTGTTCTCGGAGCTGCTGGTGGCATTGGCCAGGTATGGTTCCTCTTCCCCAAGGAATACCAGTGTTTCATAGCTAATCGATCCTCTAGCCTCTCTCCCTTTTGCTGAAGGCCTGCCCTCTCGTTGATGACCTTGCCCTCTACGATGTTGTCAACACCCCCGGTGTTGCTGCAGATCTCTCTCACATCTCCTCGGTTGCCGTACGTTGGATACTTCGAAATCATGGTGAATAAGCCTGCTTACAATGGACTAGAAAATCACTGGTTATCTCCCCAAGGATGATGGATTGAAGCTTGCTCTGACCGGTGCTGACATTGTTGTCATCCCCGCCGGAATTCCCCGTAAGTAGATCCGATAATCGGCATGTGATGTTTTGCTAACGTCCCACGGTAACATCTAGGCAAGCCCGGTATGACCCGTGACGACCTCTTCAAGGTCAATGCTGGAATTGTCAAGGGTCTTGTTGAGAGCATCGCCGAGTTTGCCCCCAAGGCTTTCATCCTTGTTATCTCCAACCCTGTTAACTCTACCGTCCCCATTGCTGCCGAGGTCCTCAAGGCCGCCGGTGTCTTCGACCCCAAGCGTCTGTTCGGTGTGACCACCCTCGATGTTGTTCGTGCCGAGACCTTCACCCAGGAGTTCTCTGGCGTCAAGAACGCCTCTGATGCCACCGTTCCCGTGATTGGTGGACACTCCGGCGAGACCATTGTTCCTCTGTTCAGCAAGGTTTCCCCCAGCTTCCAGATCCCTGCTGACCGTTACGATGCTCTTGTCAACCGTACGTCGAGCGTCCTTCCCATGTGATGCATTTGCTGATATTCCACAGGTGTCCAGTTCGGTGGTGACGAGGTCGTCAAGGCCAAGGACGGTGCTGGTTCCGCTACTCTGTCTATGGCCTTTGCCGGTTTCAGGTATGTGTCTCACCCCATAATCCAGTGCTACCGTGGTGACTGACAAATACTAGATTCGCTGAGGCTGTTATCAAGGCTTCCAAGGGCGAGAAGGGCATTGTTGAGCCTACTTTCGTCTACCTGCCCGGTGTTGCCGGTGGTGATGAGATTGCCAAGGCCACCGGTCTTGAGTTCTTCTCCACTCCCGTGGAACTCGGTGTAAGTCTTCAATTCTTCAGTTTTAAGACAACTAACTGACATGCTCGATCCAGCCCAACGGCGCCGAGAAGGCCATTAACATCCTTGACGGTATTACCGAGCAGGAGAAGAAGCTCCTTGAGGCTTGCGTCAAGGGACTTCAGGGCAACATCGAGAAAGGTGTTGAGTTCGCCAAGAACTCCCCACCAAAGTAAGGCCTCTTCCCCTATCTATCATCCACCGCATATATCAGGTGGGTCTCTTTGTGTCGGTACATTTCTCGCCGGTTTCTCCAGGGCCGCGATGACACCAGAAAATGGCAGAACGTTGCTAACCAATTCTCTCTCGGAAAGATAGGCTTTAAATGCGAGACCACGAGTTTATGAACAATGAGCAGACACGAGTAGTGTACGGTCCGACTGATGGGTAGGTTTAGCACAAATATATGTAGCAACCAACCTGTAATGGAAAGAAGTACAGATTTCACCGTTCATATTTGCGCATCTTTCGGTCTCCTGTCTCATGTAGCCCAGAGACTTGGAATAATCAATGACCCTTGTAGTAAACTGAAGGAATCACAAGCTCTCCGCAAGATGAGACTGTCATAAGTCATACAGTAGGCGTGATTGGTTAGAAGGCTAGCCCAAGTCCAGGCACATCGATCCTCATGTTCAGGGTCGAGGCTGGAGGGTTTTGATCTGGAAAGTTGCACCTGGTAGATCTGAGGTCTCGGCCTGCACCGTCGTGTTGATACCCAAATTTGCTAATGCGCCCCGTATGATACCGCAAGGAAACCAGAGATACTAGATTAATCTATGAGTCACAGATACTCTCATTGATCGCAAAGGGGATATGCTTACTGCCTGCGCCATGGATATTGCTTCACTCCGCACCGCCATGCTCATCCTACCAAACGGCCTGAACGCGCTATCGGTCAAAACATAAACTCCCTATTTATCGTCTGCATTAGCCTCATCGACATTTGTGCAAATGCAGTGGTGTCGCATCTCCCCGACCACAGTCATTCCTGTATTGCACATACCCGATGGTTCGTTTTCAAATTATCCACCTGTTTCTTGAATAGGACTGTCCACAGATCCTTGCAGAGAAACTTGATCACGTCGAGGTTATCGGTAAAGCGAGGACGATCGCGGGCGAAGCTTTACAGATTGACATAGGTTAGCGCGCTGTAGGACTGAGAAAGAAAGCAAAGGGGCCGGTGTAAAAGGAGATAGATGTTTATGGCCTACCGCTCCGCAAGACCTTGTCCAACCCGATAACCCAAAGACTCTAGACGGAAGAATGTTGTCTCTCTAACCTCTTCGTCTTCTGTTTCCTTTCCCTCGGTCGCAAGTTCCCTTGCCATGCGCTCGGCCATTGGCACCAATTCTATGAGTAGGAAGTCGAAGCATGAAGAGCTGAAGACACGGGCATTTGGATCGGTATTTAACGGAGAGGTTGAGTCGATTGACATTATGAAGGAGTCAACAATAGGCGTCAAAGTCTAGCAAATTAACAAGTGATCCGGGTTGGTGTATGGAATGAGGGCGTGTTGATGAGAAGGACTGGAAATGGGCGAGTTGGAGTTGGGGAGTCGGGGGAGCTGGGGGGGTTCTAAGCTAACTCCATGCCGGAATCCACCTGATATTGACCTTTGGACTTTATACAAGAAAATATAACTCGTTGTATTATTTGAACAGGGGGAATAATAACCATAGTCAAAATATTTTCGTTAATTGACCGATTAAAACTAAAAACCATACAATTGCCCCTTAGATACAAAGCCACTCGTGATATCTTGAAGACTCCCCTCGCCAAGAACTCCATGAAAATATGCACCAGAAAAAGAAACGGCCAATGCCTTGGTGATCAGCCTGAAAAAAGCTGGACTAGAATAAGAATCTAAATTCACGGTGGATATGACCCGCCATTCAAAGGGCTGCTGGCAGGCGGGAGATGGTAATCTTGACCAGAATATGTTCGGGAAGGCAGACTTGTAGCTGGCCGTTTAGGAGGGGGAACAGGGGACTCTTCATCTTCATCACCGCTTTCAGTGAGGTCGATGACCTGAGCTATAGGTCGTTTTTTGCTGGACATGCGCATCGCAGAGGATGGGGTCGATGCCTCTCGTGACTGTGACTGCGATTGCGATTGTGCAGGTGTTCGCTCCAAGGCGATGTTCGCAGCCCCCGGTTCTTTTTTAACAGCGGGCATTCCGGGTTCGTTGATCTCAATCAGGTCGTCGTCATCGTCATCTGATGTGGGAGTCATCCCTCCCAATTTGGTCGCGTCGGAATCACTGGGCCTTGACCATACACCGTTGGGTTCAACCGTGACTTGGTCGATGTTGGGCGACGTCGACTGAAGAATGTCATCGACGTACCTATGCGATCGGTTAGGAAAAGAAAATAGATATGTGAGGGGGACATGGGACGTACTGGTCAACCTGCAGAGACTCAAAGCTAGTCGATTTGGAACACACGGGGCAGGTCCAGGTTGGAGCCTGTTTTTGCAACTCAAGAAATGAAGATGCATCGAAGCATTGGTTGTGTGTGCAAACAATAGAGCGGCAAGGCACCTGGATGCGCAGGGTAGATAGAGGACATTTAAGTGACATAACACTTGATGTCGCAACAATGTCCGAGTCGTTTGCACGATTTTGCACTGGAGCTCTAGATTAGCATGGTATAAGATAAGGAAGGCAACGGTATGATTTCTTACTTTCGCGCAAGACTTGCTCCTTCGAGATCAGTTTCCGTGTCTTCAACTGCGATACAAGTTCTTCGGTCGGATGCTGCTTCACGAGGTTGGCAATCGCAAAGAATTTCTGTGCAAGGAGGAGTTAATCAAACGGCCTAACAGATGATCGACCGAGCAGAATTGAGAGGAGTTCATCCAACCTTTTGGGTCAAGGCGTAAGTCATGACGATATTATTTGGGTAATTGGGCTTTTTGCGGATCCAGTTGGTGACATCTGCGGGTTGTGTGGTCCCTGGCCTATTTTTCAGGCCTCTGAGATTGGCTTTAACTTCATCAAGATTGACTTTGAGCTCCACCTGGTGTGGAAATGCGATGTCTGACTTGGTGTATTGTGTGAGGCCTGAATCACCGGCGCAATAAACCATCACTCGGATATTTGAGTCTGTTTGCAGCCTGTAGGCAGCTTGCTGAGATAGCATGACCTTCAGTTCAACACTATCTCGTGTTTGTTCGCGAACTGGGTAAAGTTAGATACGGACGTTCAACAAAGTTCAAAAATACAAGTAACATACTTTTACATTCCACGACTGCGGTTAAAGGCTCCAGGATTGTGTAAAATGGACTTTCCTTGAAAACCAAAGGACCTGGAGATATATGAGCCGCTGCAGGAGGGTTCATGTGAGGAGCACTCGGACCAGAGGAGTATGGGTGAGGCGACATGGAGACACCAAGTGGTGCAGGTCGGTTTTGTGCAGGCGATTGAGAAACAGGTGACGGTTGGTATTGTGGTCTGGAGGGTGACTGATATGGCACAGTGTTTGGGAAAGCAGTAGCGCGAATGCGCCTAGCGAGAGCATCGAAACTGACAGGGTCAGATTCCGCGAGGGTTTGGATGCCTAGTTCGTTGGTCAGTATATATATTCCTACAAGAATAGGTTGCAAAACAGTGACTTGAAGAACAATTTGTAAAACATGCGGAGGACAAAATGAACAAGCCATAAGCAAGAGTCGGGGAGAATTGACGCACGTTGAATGATGCGGAACTGTAGGGTTGCCTTCAACCCGGATACCTGTAGGCCCTCATACCTCAACAAGTCTTTCAGTTGTGGATTTGTGAGGGGTTTGATGAAGGCCGTAAGGGTTGCGACCTCTGACGACAGGCTGGTCGACATGGCTGCTTGTGACTACACAGATAAGAGAAGTGCGAAAGCAATCAAGGACTTGGTCCAGGGTTCCTCGAAAGACAAGGGTCCAATTCAGCCAGGCCAATTGTAAGGGCTCTGCATCGATACATCTCTCGACTGGAGTAAACTGTGAAATGCCACAAACTCCAGTCACAAAAGGGTGAGGTCGAGTCGGCACGGTGAACCTTAGGAAGTGTCCAGGTGCGGTCTCCGGATGACATAAGACGAGCCTATCGGGAAAAAAAAAAGTTGATTGTGTTATCAGTTTGAGCATTTTATTTCCCACCCGACATCAGTTTCAACATCACCTTTAAATTCTCGCTCATATCCTCACGTCTTGATACCCTGTTTACCCTTTCCCCGCTTTTATCATACATACAATGGCCAAAAGTGTGCGAGCCAGCGTTTCCAAGCGCAACAGAGCCAATCTGCGCACCAAGGTCTTCGGTCCGGTGGTCGATGCCAGAACTGAGAGACTCGCTGCCAAACTACAGGAGCTTGCCGCCCAGCCGCGGCCTGAACCCCCTACGAAATCAAAGAAGGAGCAAGAGATCGAGGATGGTACGTATACTACCATCATTTTTCAAGGATACCGACTCACCTCATATTACAGCAGTCAAGGCCCAGGCCGCCGACAGTGAAGGTTAGTCTAAGGCAATCCAACTTTTGGAACACGCCTCTCTTCTTGTTTTGAAATGCAGAACGCTTACCCACTCAAACACAGAGATGGATATCGACACACTTAAGTCCAAGAAGAAGTCAGAGCGTGTGCATAAGCGCAAGCAGAAGCCCCGCAATTCGATTGTTTTCCAAAAGCGTCTAGGTACAACCATGAAGGGTCCTAAGAGGAAGTAAGATGTGTGTTGAGTGAGGGGCAATGAAAGGATTATTGATGAGATGGTGTGGCGGAAAGAAGAAAAAAGGCGTTTGGGAGTCCACGATTACACCTGCGATTCACGTACATACGTTTCATAGTCTATGTCTGATATACCAAAACTTTTCTTATGAAAGGCTTGAGATATTACTTGGATTTTGCTTGGTGGGAGAAGAATAACCTCAATGTGGCCGGGGAGCCAATGTAGGTTGCTCTTAAATTCCAAATCACCGATAAGCAACCCTATTCAAGATTAATTAGCGAATTTATGGCATCATCCAGCACTGTTAACTTCTAGATCATGAATCATAGGGGGGTCAAATTTTGAAGTAAATGTAGACCCTCTATATGGAATGTAATATCACAACATACACAAGGTACTCCAGAAGGCGGTGTGGTGATGCGCGTCGATCATAAACACGATTCTGCCTCCTTTTGGATCCCCGGACAGTCCGACATGTCCATTTGATTCGAGGGTTCTTTACATCAAAGTTGTACTGCCAGTGCTAACGCTAGTCAATTTGAAAAAATGGCGCGCTCCTGGAGCTGGGCCACGGTCATTGCCAATTTGCTGGTTCCCGTGGGCATACTTACCTTCTCTTCAGGATTCTTCCCTTATAAACCGTTGATCCCTGGATTAGCGACTTTTGATGAAACAGGCACGAATGCTCCAGTACCTGCGATATTCGACAAAGTTATCTTCATGGTGGTTGACGCGCTACGGAGGTATGACTGGAATAATTTAACCCTCGAACTATATCGGTGACTAACAAGATGTCACTCATATATAGCGACTTTGTATACTCGAACGACTCGGGTTTCTTGTTTACACAGAGGTGAGTGTCACTTTTGGCATCCACCAATTGATCGCTCAGAATAAGTAACTGATTTGTTTTTAGCCTGATTCGGTCCGGTGCTGCATTGCCATTCACTGCCTATGCAAGCTCTCCGACAGTTACAATGCCTCGACTAAAGGCCATCACAACTGGTTCAGTTCCGTCCTTTTTGGATGTCATTCTCAACATAGCCGAATCAGATACCACGTCAACACTGGCATACCAGGACACTTGGTTGGCGCAAATAAAGGCCGCAGGAGGACGGCTTGTGATGTATGGGGACGACACTTGGCTCAAGCTCTTCCCGGGGATGTTTGACCGAGCCGATGGAACCACAAGCTTTTTCGTGTCGGTCAGTTGTATTTTAGGTTTTTGTGTATCCGCAATATTAGTATTAAAGCTGAGCTTCTTCTCGCAGGACTTCACCGAAGTAGATCATAATGTGACTCGACACGTTCCTAACGAGCTTGCCCAGGATGACTGGTCAGCTTTGATCATGCATTATCTGGGTCTGGATCACATAGGACACAAGGCTGGTCCGAAAAGGTAAATACAACCCCATACCTCATTTGCTGCTTTTCAACATCTAACCTTCCTAGCCCCTTTATGATACCGAAACAACATGAGATGGACTCTGTGGTGACTGAAATCTATACCGCAATGCAACAACAAGAGCATCTCCAATCCACACTTTTCGTCTTGTGCGGAGATCATGGTATGAACGAGGCTGGAAACCATGGCGGGTCCTCTGCTGGTGAAACATCTCCGGCGTTGCTTTTCGTGTCACCCAAGTTTGAAGCTTTAGGTGGCCGAAGGAAAAGCCCTGCGGAACCGTCAGGCGATATGCAGTACTATCAGACGGTTGAGCAAGCGGACATTGCTCCGACCTTGGCGGGGCTTCTTGGTATCCCAATTCCTTTAAACAGTCTTGGTGTGTTCATTCCAGACTTTTTAGAGATGTGGGATAATGGTATGCACTCTGTTCCTCAACGCGGCAAAGCGAAAGACAACAAGAAACTGACTCGGAAACAGGTTCTCATAAACTTCGAATTTTATATCAAAATGCCGAGCAGCTGCTGAACACATTGACAACTACATTCCCTGGATCTAAATTTAGCCCCAATAGCATTGCTTCCTGTGCTTCAGGGGTCTCATCTGGTATTGAGGGAGCTCAGTGCGCTTGGGCTCGAGTCCAGCAAGTTCTCTCTAGCAGGGATGAGGCAGATGATTCTTATTCTACGGCCGGTCCCGCTTTGTTGCAGTTCTTGAGAATTGCGCAAGAGGTCATGAGCCGAACTGCTAGTAACTACGATGTCTCCAGACTCATTCTGGGCCTATTGATCACGGGGGTTGCAGGCCTGCTCGTACTTCCAGCCACATACAAGGAATGCACACGTGGCGGATCCTCCGGGATGTTTTTGATGCTTATGATTATCACTTGTGGGATGATGATGTTTGCGAGTAGTTATGTGGAAGAAGAGCAACAGTTCTGGTATTGGATCTGCTCGGGATGGATTGTCTACCTGCATATCAAATCGCAATCATCTGCAAACCCAGTGTCACGCAGACGCTTTAGATCATTAGCATCTTGGTCAAACAAATGCATGATTCTTGTACTGGCAATCACCCAGCGGCTCTTGCGACGATGGAATCAAACGGGACAGAAGTTTGCGGCCGAGCCTGATATTGCTCGCACTTTCTTTGCACGCCATCCAGAAATCTTCTGGGGTCTTTTTATTCTCACATACATCGATGCCGGTCGTCATCTTCTCAAGAGTATACCGGTCTCTGGGATATTGAAGCTCGGTGCCTTGGCCCCTGTTGTATTGGCCTGTACATTTAAACTGCACTTTGTGACTTCGGAATCCCCCGAACTCCTGGATGGGACGTTCATCTCGCAAATCATGAAGGAATGGCCGTACAGTCTATCATTGGTTTCCCATGCCAGGCTTGTTTTTTACGGACTTGCTGTTATCGTTCTGCTAGCCCTCTTTGTCGGAAACCGATCAAGAATTACCCGAGGTAAGCCCGCACATACCCTAGCTTGCCTCTGAGCTTGGAGTATTTACTGACCAGAACCTCCAGAACCACATGATACAATCCACGAAGCTCTGCACATCTTCCTAATGACGCAGTCCCGCGCCACTAACGTCCCCTTGTTCCTGATTTTCCGAATCCAGGCTGGCATTCTATCTTCCATGGATCTCACCGGGATCGAAGTGACGATCACAAGCTTGATCTTCCAATACATGACGTTCTTCGCATTTGGCGGCTCCAACGCAATCTCCTCTGTGGACCTTGCTAGTGGATATAACGGTATTGACAGCTACAGCGTGGTGCTAGTGGGCATTCTCACCTTCGCGAGCAACTGGGCAGGACCCATCTGGTGGGCTTCACAGAGCCATCGTCTCCGGCCGAGGAATCTCACAGAACAGAACCCCTCGGCACTGTTGACCTTCCATGTCGCCATGTCCTTGGTTTCCGTCATGGCCGCCTGTACAGCCTTGCGGACGCATCTTTTCATCTGGACCGTTTTCTCCCCGAAGTATCTCTACAGTATGGCGTGGGCAACTGCTAATCATGTTGCTGTCAATTTACTGGGGGAAGTTATTTTCTCTCGATCTCGATCTCATTATTCATAACAAAAGCAAATATTTCAGCATAAAAATACAACGCCTGGACATACATGCCTTGGAAACCGAAAAAAAAAGCAAACACTGTACATAGAGGGGTATGAGACTTAAAACAAACCGCTGAACAAATCATCGATAGCGTTCTTCTTTTTCTTCTTTTTCGATGTAGTCTTCAACGTACTGTCCTCGGTAAGTTTTTTCGTGGATTTCTGCTTGGAGACTTTGGAAGGCTTGGAGACCTCGGAGATCTTGGCATCAGACTGCAAAACCTTGACCGGGTTGAGTGGCGCATCATCAGTCCGACGAATGCGTTCTCCTAGGTCCTCCTTTGGGACAGCTGGAGCGATCTTGGCCTTGCTTGCGACAGGTTGCACCTTCAGCTGATGACTGATCCCGGTGATTTTGGACAGTCGCGCCAAGGCAGCTAGAAGCACGATTCCAAGGGTAGAGAACTGGTTATCGGCAACGACAGTCGAAAAGGCGCTGAGGGAACAGTTAGTAGGATTTTTCAGCAAAGTAAAGGATCCTCTCATACATGTAACATCTCGGAATTATGTGGTTGGCTAGATGGGATTTTACCCCCGATCGGGCGAGATCCAATGTGGCGCGCTTCAAGATAGATAGCCATTTCCACCATTTTGTTCGACGATGCTGATTCTTGTTGCGGTGAAAGATTAAATGCAGCGTTGAGTGGACTGCTAGGATTTCCTTGGAGTCCATGTTTTGTGTAGGGAGTTGAAAAAGATGAAAAGTGGGTTTTCCCGTTTACTGTCGAATGTCTTCTACTTCTACTCTCTACCGTGACCCCGATTCAACATAATCATTACATTTGGCTAACTAGTTCCATCCCCGGTTTTTTTTGGGATTTTCCAGATTTTCATAAAAAAAGCAATAGAAAAAGCAAACGCAGAAAAAGCAGAAAACGCAGAAAACGCAAAAAACGCAAAAAACGCAAAAAAACGCAAAAAAAAAAGCAGAAACGCAGAAACGCAGAAAACGAAAAAAAAGCAAAGACGCAAAGGAAAGCAAACGCAAGGACAATGATGTGCCGAGCACATCACTGCCTGGAAACCCGAAGTTTCTCTTCGTTGCCGTATGGATCTTTGGGAAGGATGTCTTTTGACAGTTCCTCCGAATCAGTAATAAACTGAAGCCCCAAGTGTTTTTTGGGGGAATTGTTTTTTCCTTTTTCCTGTTTTTTTTTGGCGATAACGAAGTCTGTGTGGTTCTCTCGAGTAGAGGTGTACCACTGGGCGAGACAGTCAATCGGAATCATTTTCAATGAGCAAGATGCTGGAATTAATAGGGTCGATTTCTTTCTTTTTTTCTTTTTCCTTTTCTTGGGGGCAGATCTGAGGGTCGAAGATTTGTCGAATGGATTGTCGGGTCATTCGTCGAGAGCACATTGTGTAGGCATGTAGTGATGGACAATCGGCGTATTCACGTCATGTCCATGGTTTCCATGATAAAACCCCAATTTTCAATGAAGAACCCCAGGAAGAATGGGGTTGTTGGCTTCATGGTGAGAGGCTTAATCCCTCTTCGAGGTAAAGTGAGGCTGCTCTGTCTGCATCGAAGAAAATTCGCCAGGGACATGCTGGACCGATCGTCTGCTAGCATGGCGGGGAGTTTGGGTAGTAGGTCGGACGCGGGGAGTCTGGCTGAAGGACTGAGACTGAGGACGCGTACGGTTGGTGCGAGGCGTAGTGGGACCTCGGGTGCGAGGTGCGAAGAGGCCTATGAAAGGGTTAGAGAATGTCTACAAGCCAATTGGCATGGTGCCTTACCTTGCTGAGTGGTGCTGGCAACTGAACGACGCAGCTTATTGGCATCATTGGGGCCTGGGAAAGGCATCTCGGTTCCTGCACGGGGGCCGTCGATATAGAAGAGCTACATTCAGTCAGTATTGACACCGCGATAAGAGAAGAAAGGATCAAACTCACTCGAGGTCGTTCTTCGTGAGGACGGGTCATAACATGGCTGTTGCGGAACTTGTTGATTAAAGCATCCTTTCCTTGAAGTGCTATTGAAACGTGTCAGATATCATTTCCATTGACCACGGATGGGACACGAACTGGCATAAGAGATCTCGGCTATCTTCTCAGAGACACAGTTGGGCCTGTAATTGTCTTTAGTCAGCTAACGTGCAATCTTCTGGAGAAGAGGAGGAAGGGCATACCAATTTCTACCATGTCGGGCGTGAACAAGCTAGGAGAAAATGGTAAGTACACGTCACACACTAGCCCATGATATAACTTACATTAACAATATCGATTGCCTGCACAAGGTATTAGTCAAATGTTGGACGAAAGGATATCAGATGAAAAGGAGATTAGCAAAATACTCACATCACCGAAGTTCATAAACGCATAACCAACGCTAGAAGGACGAAGAATAAGTAACATCGAAAATCAAAAATCAGCACCCAGAACTTACTTGCAACGATGAAGGAAATCTAGGAATAGCATTAGCTAGAACGAGCGAATAAATCATTGAGAAGCACTTACCCATGCGAAGATAGAGGAAGTCATACTTCCCATAACTGGACTCATCAAGGATGCCTTTGAGCTGTTCCTATTGAAGTATCACATCAAATTAGCCACCATTCATTTCATAAGAAGATGATCATCATCATACCGCAGTAAGCTTGTTGGGAATGTTGCGGATCATGACCTGTAATGAGACAATATGTGAGAAATCGGTCTGCCGGCAGATTGAAGAAAACTTACAGTGCTGCGAACATCAAGTCCTTGCATGATTCGCTCGAGACTAATTTTGTGTTCTGCACTTGTCTTGCCCTCTTCAAAAGCAGGAGAAACGTCGACCTTCTCCTCGATCTCGTTCTCCTTGGACACGAGGTGATATGGGGTCACAGGGCTCTGAGGGGGGACTCGGCTGGGGGTTCGCATGTGAGACAAAGTATGCACTTCTTCTTTCACGTCAATTGGGGAGACATCGAAATGAAGACTCTGCATGAAGCCGACGTTAGCATTGCACTGGTAAGAACAGAAAAACAAGAAAGAAAAGAAAGTACATCGAGCCTAAATCCACCAAGGCAAGAGAAAGCATAAGCTGCATGGCGCACGTTGAAGTATTCCACGCGGTATCGACTCATGTTCGTTCCATTCTCGACAAGCTTGCAAGAGCGCATCGTACCAAGGGAAGCAACAACATCTTGGATGATCCCATCCATAGGCTCCATGAGCCACTGGGTGGTGAAGACAGAAAGCAGGAATGCACCATCGGAAGACGCGGAGATAGTCGAGAAAGCGGAACCATTGGTTCCATTAAAATTGGCAAATTCTTGCGCAGTGGATGGGGAGACACGCCATCCTGGACGAGTTAAGCGAATCTTGTTCATGGCGTTGATGGCCTCTCGAAGATCGCCAAACGAAAACGAGAACGCGCCCTTGGTCCCAACATGCTTGAGGCAAACATTCTCAAGGGAAGGATATTCCTCAATCTGGATAAAGTCAGTTTTAGTCAATTGCATAACAGGTTAGTATTGTAACTTACCGGGAACATCATAACAATAGAGCGATGCGAAGTGTCGAGGGGAACCTGCTGCACGATAAAGGATCGATGCTTTTCAGTGCCATCGTGATTCCCGCCGGAAAGGGGTCGTGAAGCGATGGTATCAATGTTGCGACCATGAGTGGGATTGGGGTTTCCATAAGTCAGTGCATTTTCAGTTGTAGCATTTGCATCTCCAGTCGGGAGACCGTGGGTGGTTGCAAACAAGCTAGATATGAAAGCCGGGCTAGGGCTATATTCATAACTAAAGTCCTCACGAGAGGGTGAATACCGTGTGTTGGCAATAGCTGCCTGAACAGGAGATAGCAGGTACTTTGAATCACTCGAATTCAGTCGAGTATGAGTCGATGCATGAGGCGAGTATTGCATTTGATCCAGCGACCGAGATGCTTGGACATGAGACGGCGAGTATTTCATTGCACCAGGACCAGCAATTGTAGGAGACAACTGAGTCGACGAGTAGTCAAATTGGTTGGCTGATGTGTGGGTGTTTGCCTGATCAAGTGTTGCGGGCGCAGCAATTTGAGTCAAGGCATTGGAGGGTTCGAACGCTTGAGCTGCATACCCCGAAGTAGAGCTTGCAGTGGTCGTTTGAGACACAGGAGCATTCAACGCAGTTCGTGGGTCACTGGACCAACCAGCAAACGGATCACTAGCGCCAAACGTATTAGGGCTTTTTTGCCTTGCACATATATAAACAAATACTTACCCGATTGGGCGGATTGTCCCAACCCCAGGGAACGGGATAGGATCTCCTCGGTGAGAAAAAGCTTCATAGCCCAATGGACTAAAAGCAGCAAGCTGCTTGGATGGCGATCCTCGAGTCGAGGGAAACCTCTCCATGTTTGAATCTAAAGTAACGAGAAGGTGAGCCGACAATCGTGACAGAGGGACGAGTGGGGGACATGCAGGCTAAAATTCCGTTTTCACAAGCGGAGATGATTAATATCTAGCGATTGAAGATGCAAAGGGTATCCTAGCGACGGTTGGGGAGAAGTGAGACGGAAAGAAAAGAAAAGAAAAGGACCGTTGGCGTGGCAGGAAATCCAGCCTACTTATACTTCGAGACTACTGATGTATAATGTTGCGCGCATAAAACGACTAAGCGAATGACGAGGAACAAAAGGGCTGAATTTTTGGCAGATATCATATGAACACCGAGTATCTTAATACAATCACTGCTTTTCTATTCATATGAAGTGTCAACTGGGAGTCCAATGCGAGGAGATCAATCCCTTTGAACTAGGTAGGATTAAAGCACACTTATCCAGTGGTTTGTGACTGTGAAGACAAGAGTAACATAGATATTAGAAGCAGTGTGAAAAGCGAGCAAATACAGCCCGAAAACTGTAGAAATGTTGATATCCCTATTATATTAACCATGGAATCTTATACATCTCCAGCGTGTACGTTTAATTAAGGTTGCCGCTAACGGGACGCTAGTACCGAATATGATTAGCGCCTTGGCTTTTATTCCGACCTAGATAGCAGTCTGTATTCATCCATCCACGGATGGATATCACCTTAGAAGCAGAAGTACTTGCGTATCTACCTAGGTACCCTTGAACCCTTTCAAACTTGGGTTCCCCGAGATAAACAGGAATGATGAAGCTTTTCAGACCGAATTCTAGATTTTGGCACGGGTTGACCGTCTAAACGCTATTCCCATATATCGGTAACGCTGAGAATACGGTACACTTCAATTATGTGGACATCAAGGCCTAGGAATAAGGAGACTTGTGCGGTCGGACAGGTCCCAAATCGCCTGGAACCGGGTTTAAGTAGAGATGTTCAAGTCAAGACCAGCTTCAGTCTTTTCAAATATGCGGATTTGTACGGTCGGAAGAGTCTCAATTATAGAGAATATTTATGGTTACCACTGTACGGAGTACCGAGTAGAGCGATGTCACAAGTGATCTGGTTAACACCTGAAATATCGGGCATCAACACTCGCAATTAGCCTCTCAAAGGCGGTGATGTACATTGGTGGCAGATCCAACGTCTGACCGCCTATAGACGTCAATGAGTACCTACCTAGGTAAGTAACCTACAAGCCTGAGATCGTCGACCCTAGATAAGGTTGCAAGTTTAGCAAGTGGGGAGTATTGTCATACCGGGCTTGCCTTCGGCTATGAAGTTGAGGCATTATGCCACCCATGGCTCCAATGCTCAATGAGCCACATGTTTTGAACCAAGTGAGCCAGCCAAACACGTTGGAGGATGTACCCCAACTGACTTCCTTGTCCTTAGATTATCATCTCGCCCTCCGATACAGACTATCTGGATCAGCTCATTCCTTCAATCAGAGATTACAGCGTTGGAAATCGCACCCCACAACTCCTGCAGTCACTGTCCCGGTTCGCCGGCGACAAGGAGTCCGAGATCGAAAGCATCTGCAACACAAACCATCAGGAGTTCGTCTCATCTGTCAATTCACTGCTTCGGATTAGAGAGGGGACAGTGAGCTTGACAGCGGAGATTCTGGACTTAAATCAATCTATTCAGAGCAGTACCGAACGCCTGGCTGAGCAGAAGAAAGCACTGGTGGAGTCGCGTGGCCACCGACAGAACATTGATGAGACCAGTCGCGCCATTCAGGATTGCTTGGAGGTGCTGCGTCTAGCCAACCAAGTCCACGACCTCTTGGCAAAGAAGAACCATTATGCCGCGTTGCGCGCACTGGAGGAATTGCAAAATGTCCATCTGAAGGGCGTGACGCAATACAAGATTGCAGTCATGATACAACGCTCCGTTCCAGCGACACAGCGAGCTATTGCGGAAGCAGTGATGTCAGATCTCAACACCTGGCTTTATCGCATCCGAGAAATGTCTCAATATCTCGGGGAAATTGCGCTCTTCCACACAGACCAGCGGAAAACAAGACAAAAGCAAAGAGCGGAAAGGATCCCTTATCTAGAGCATTTCAATTTGAACTCTGCAATTGAATTGGTGGCCGATGAAGATGAAGAATATGACCTCCTCCAGAATGAAGATCTTCAAGTTGACTTCACGCCGCTGTTCGAGTGTTTGCATATCCATCAATCTTTGGGGCATATGGATAAATTCCGAGTTGAATACGCGACCACCCGCAGAAGACAAAAAGAACTCTTGCTTCCGTCTTCTATCACTCTTGTTGATGAAGATGGTTCTAGTCTGCACAATCTCTTGGAAGAGATGGCTGGATTTGCCATTGTTGAACGGGCCACAATGAAAAGAGCCCCCGATCTTAGGTCATCCGTCGATGTAGGAGACCCTACCCCGTTTTCTTTGCCCCCTTTCCAACGAGGGGCCTTTTGGCAATGATCTAACCCGTGCCTCTAAATAGATTGACGAGCTGTGGGATTCGATGTGCCAAGGGGCTGTAGTGTTGATATCGAAAGCACTTCATGAAGTCGACAACGCTGAAAGCATTCTCAGTATCAAGAATCTGATTGCTCTGTTCATGCAGACGATGAATGTAGGTAGGCCCATCTCTATCATCATGGACTCAAATAACTAACATACCTACAACAGACATGGAACTTCCCTGTGCGGGTCTTTGACGACTTCCTGTTGACACTCTTTGGAAAATATGCCGAACTTCTGAAGAAAAGATTCAGTGACGACTTCCAGGAGGTACGGCTGCCTCTTACTGATACGATATCTTACATGCTAACGCTTCTAGATTGTGTCAACGGATGATTATATGCCCATGCCAATACAGACCCAAGAGGAGTACGACAAGGTGCTTAATGTCAGCTGGTACAGCCCCGAACAACCTCGCGAGGAACAAGTGTAAGTTGTGAATCAGCCCTGCCTGATTGGTCCTTATTCAGACTTGACTGATCATTGACTTGGTTTAGATTCCCATGCATATTACCATTCTCTCGAATGTATCCGCTGTGTTGCATCGACATTCATAATTTCCTGAACCAGTTCTATCTCTTCGCAAGTGATAACTTCGCGAATACAAATGTGATTGATGAGACACTGAAGAATGTGAGTTCGAACCACCTTACTCAAGCCCCGTGACTCAACAACTAACCTAGCAGGATCTGGATGACCTCCTTTCACACGAAGTCTGTGACACTTTAGTGGAGCGTCTTTCCTCGCAATATCTAGGTCAAATCGTTCAGATCCTTATCAACCTGGAACACTTCGAGCTAGCTTGCCACGAGCTGGAACTCTTATTAGCAGCAGCCCGATCACAGAACTCCACCGGCATCTCAATCGCGTTGAGGGCCACCGAAAAGTTCAAAAGCAACAAGAAGGCAGCCGAGAAGCGTATCTTCGAAGTAGTCAATTCCAAAATCGATGATCTCATCGAGACAGCAGAGTACGAGTGGCTGTCACCTACACCCCCCACAGAGCCGAGCAACTACATGCAAACCTTGACTCGATTCTTGTCCAATATCATGAACTCCACGTTGTTGGGCCTACCGACGGAAATCAAAGAGCTCATTTATTTTGATGCCCTAAGTCATGCTGCTAACATGATTCTGGTTAGCTTTTTATGGACCCTATTCCATTGAAACAAAGACTTACTGACTCGCCCCTACAGGCCCAGCCATTGTCCCCAGATGTGAAGAGAATCAATCCCAACGGAGTGGAAGCATTAGCAAAAGATGTTGAATATCTTACCGAATTCGTGGATAGCTTAAATGTCCCGATTCTTCGTGAGAATCTCGACGAGCTACAGCAAACCGTGCAGTTGATGCAAGCGGACAACGCTGACGAGTTTTACGACATTTCCACGAGGAACAAAAAATATGGGCGCGTTGATGCCATGCAAGGGCCCATTTTACTTGAAAAGTACAGTTTGAAATATTTGTCTTATGGCTGTGAATTCCCTGCTAACTAGTCGCGAATAGGCTCACTCGCAGCGTTCAAGCCCCCGCCAAGGTGGATAAGTTCGCGACTCTTTCATCGCGTTTCAAGAAGACTGGATAATCTACATGAGTGTGTTATGTGTAATGCAATGTTTAACTATAACAAGAAGAATAGTTGGCCGCTTATGCAGCCTTGTAATGTCTCTTTAATGAACCTTCTAGTGGTATTTGAACATAAGCTATGTAGATAGCTGTTCTAAAGACCCTTCCTTCGTCTTTCTTATACTTAGACAACATAGTTAGGCAGAGGGCATAAAGAATTAATCTATGAAAACGAGTTTCCCACGTGTAACCTAGGATCAAGTACCTCTGGAGAGCATGAAAAGGCCATATTGCATCGATGACTCCGGACTTTGTCAGAGGATGTCTTTTGTCTTTCAGATTGTAATCTCGGCTTACCCCAAGGCTTGCACGAGCCGTAGAGACATATATGATACTGCCAGTCATCAAGAAAGTGATATTACAAACCACACAATCTACAGTATGCCGCATGTTTTTTGCTCTTTCCTGGCCAGGATCAAACCTGCTCATTCCCTATATAAAGAGTCCTGGAAGATCAGGAAGATTGGGAGTCGCTCAATCACCACTAACTACAGCATAATCCTTGCCTTGTGTGGAAAAATAAAATAATCAAAGAATCAAATAGGAACAGTAAGAACAGCGAGAAACAAGAGAACGGACCAAAATTCGCCTTTGAACGCGCATCAACTATATCAATAAAAAATGACGGACTGGGCCATGTACGACTGACACATTCACTTGACGAACAAAATTAGCCTGTCCGCTGAAGATGAGAGATAGGACAACCACGTACCTGCTGGGGAGGGAGATGCGGGTAGGCGTACATCCCCTCGAACATTTGAGATTGAGGCTGGCCATATGCCGCAGATGGGTCTGGTTGAACACTTCCGGGGTACATGGCGGCTTGTGGGCGATACTCCTGCTCCTGCGGCATACCGTGCTGACCAAGGGAGGCGTAATCGGCAGGGCCCATGTGCTGGTGGGGTTGAACTCCATGCGGAGCAGGGGGCAGCTGGCCGGGAGCAGCAGAAGGTCCTGGTGCGGTACCAGCAGCCTGACTCGACCGCTTAGCATGAGAGGTTGCCTCTTCACGGGGAACTATATCAATCAGGAAGTCAAACATATCCGATTTAGACAGAGCGGCGGCAATGTCAGATCGTTGCAGGGTACGACGCTTGTTGTCCTCGGCGTGGATCCAGGCGCGCATAGTCAACTCGGTGATGAAAATATCGCAACCCTTAGCAAACAAGATAGGCGCCTCTGCGGATATCATCTTGACCTCCGGATCTGCCTTCATCACCTTCTTGATACGGGCCAATGGCAACTGGTGGATCTTGTAGTCGTGGTTGTCTGATTCGAGGTGGTTGATGACATGCTGCCAGTATGTCGTTAAGATATCGCGCGCGGTACCTTGAAGACCTTGGTTTACCTAGTTCTGGTGAGTATAGAGCTCATTATGTGTCTGGTCATGTCGGGAGCTTACGTTGGCCCATGTACCGGTGTACAATTCGGCAACTGGCGCATAACCTTGCGCTGAGAGCTGTTTGTACGCAACATTGATTAGTTGCTACTCAAGACATTTTGCGCGATCATCGTAGAGTGAAGGTAAGGCTGTAAGGCTCGCGCGGCTCACCGCGATGGACATACCGCTGCGCTAGCACCTATAGATAACGATTGCTGTCAGCCTCCAGTCAAATGGATTGTATAGCCGAGATCTAGCAATCAAGAATGCAGAGTAATGCTTTGACAAGACCTCAGTGCGCAGCTTTGGCGCGTAGCTTCTGGCGCAATGGTAAACTCGGGACTTACCATAGTGACCCCCATTTCTGACATCATAAATTGGCTGTGGCTGCTGTCTGCCCTGCTGTGAGGTGCCTTGAGGGGATTGTTCCATGCTGGCCTTGGGAGCTATATGCAGCCTCTGGGGTTTGTCGGGCAGATGGTGCTCTGGGGGGACCGGTGGGATGCGACGCGACCTGGTGTGAAATGCGGTGTGGGTGGAGGATCCAAGAACAAAGAAAGACAGGACGCGATGTAAGAGCGATAATTAAATAGGTGTCAAAAGTCAGAGGATATATGAAGCTTGTGGTGTTCCAGGTCAACGCGCGTTGGGTGCCAAGCTGGTGTTCAGCTGTCTGACGTTCCCCGGAGCCACACCCCTCCGAGCTCGATGTTGTATAATACCTATACAATGTATGAATGGATATAGGAAATGTTTATATCTAAGATAATGGGATAAGTTTTGCATATGATTGGGTTTGATTTAAGATAGTCTAAAATCTCTATGGCATTGTATAACTCTGCAATGAAAGTACGATGCATTTGTATCTATAGAAAACATTTAGAGAAATACCTCTGATAGGTGAATGCCTTGACCTTCAACTTTCAATACAGCTGTACCATTCTGAGAGGACTTTGGGAGTAAGTACCGATACTTACAATAGGCGCACTAATTGTACTACTGTACCTGTATCTGGTACGGAAGAGAGAAGTATTTTTAGTCACATGACACCACTCCACTCTTGCAAGCAGAAATTTCTCACAAACGTTTTTCCGGCCCCGGGAAGGAGCAAGCAAGGCTAAAAAAAAATATAAATTCTCTCCGCTCATCTCAACACTTCTTGAGCTTTTGCTACCCTTCCCTATTCACCAGGGATGGCTGACTCAACATGCATTCAAGAAACTCAGGAAGACCTGACTGATGATCAGATCCAGCAGCTGCTTCTAGAGGCAGAGACTCGCCTGAGAGGTCCCAAGCTGAGCTCCCAGACTGATGATCTGGCATCTATCAGGTATGGGCATCTTTTCAGGATCGAATTAGCTGGGATCTAGGCTAACCTTCACTAGAATCCCGAAGTTGTCACCTGGGTCCTCGCTGGAAACATATATTCGCCAGGGAGATGATGTTGCTACTGTTGATGCTGCAAAGATCACCGACCAAAAGCAGAAGGAGTTGTCCAACTCTCTTCGCAAGGTTGAGATCAAGAAAGTGAATACCGTGAGTTATCCAACAACTTTCTTGCTGTTTGTTTCCTTTTTTTTTTTTTTTTTGCTATGAGGAAAATATTCCCAACGCGAAGCACTTGATGCGGCGTAAGCAGTCCGTTTTGGGCTGTGCTGCAATTATGAGAGCCTTTTTATTCATAGTTACTCTGAGCATTCATCAAAATCACTATATCTTCTCGGTGTGCGATATTTGTGGCCAATTGCTAACAATCATCCCCCTTGATAGGACAAGCCTACTGCTGGCCCTGAGTGGTTCAATCTCCCGAAGACAGAAATGACCACAGAGCTTAAGAGAGATCTTCAGCTTATCCGGATGCGCTCTGTGTTGGATCCTAAGCGTCACTACAAGAAGGAAAATGGCAAGGCCAAACCGCCAGAATATTCCCAGGTTGGAACCATCATCGAAGGTCCTACTGAATTCTTCAGCAATCGTATCGTCAAGAAGGACCGCAAGAAGAACTTCGTTGAGGAAACATTGGCACTCGAGCGTAGCACCAAGCGCTTCCAGTCCAAATACAGGGATATCCAAGCCAGCAAAACAAGCGGAAAGAAGGCCTTCTACAAGGACCTACAGGCAAAGAGAACCCGGAAGAACAAGTGAAATTGCGATTTTTACTTTTCTCGAACTATGCCAGGAATGGCAACAATCCCATGCGAACCGTGGCCGGGATCTCAGCGAAACCGCCTCTGCTAGGACCCCAATACGATGGACTCAGATCGTCACGAATTGGGATCATCATATGCATTCATCTATGTCAAGCCCAGTCTTAAACGCGATTAAAGACATGCACAAGGGTTTCGACAACCAGTTTCTGGATCGAGGTCAATTTCATTGTCTTCCAGGATTGACGATATGATCTTACCTGCATATCATTGGCTGCCTCGCGGCCAGCTTCGAGGACCTCTTCATGCCCTGCCATGCCCTCCTCTAGAAGAGCGCTCAATTCGCCTGCTGCTTTGTTCTGGAGCAAGTCGTCATCTCCCCGAGGTACGGGAGACAACACGACCTTGTTGGTGACCAAACTAAAGGCAAGCACTCGCAAACCACAATGTCTAGCGGTGACAATCTCCGGTACTGTGGACATTCCAACCACATCGGCACCGAGCATCCGAAGCATGCGGCTTTCGGCCCTTGTCTCGTAGCTTGGTGCTATCAGAATCAAGTGTGAAGGGATTGCGGTCAGGTGACTTACGTAGGACCTCCGCAAAATGCATATACACCCTCGTGTAACTTTCTCTTGCTTTCCGGTGAAATGAGTTTCTTCCATGACTGATGCACATGACGACGAAGCTCAAGGTCATAAGCATCAGACAGCGGTGGGAATCGCACGCCAAATTCATCTTCGTTGGGTCCCCTCAATGGATGAGTTCCTGCCAACCCTGCGAGGAAGAGATGCTGTAGACTGGTGTTAGAATAACTCCACCTGGTGGCTTCGACGGTGTTTTTTTTTCTCTTACATCATTCAATAGAACGATGTCTCCCACAGAATACTCAGAATTCAAACCTCCGGCCGCATTGGTCACTACCAAACATTATTAATTCTTGCCTTTCTGTAACGCCATCAATCTTCATATCAAGGATCATGTAGAACGTACAGACAACCGTATCCACTTGCAACTGTTTGAACACTCGAATTGGGAATGATACCTGATCAATGGTGTGCCCCTCGTAGTAACTAAGCCAAGGTCAGCAGTGATATCACAAGCAGAATGAGGGTTTAAGACTGACTGGGCACGGCCAACCATCAACACTGCAGGGATTTTCTGGCCGAGCAGACCGAAAACCAGCTTTCCGGCATGGCCAGCCACTACGAAGTAGAATGTTAGAAATTCTCTTCTTTATGCCCGAAGAAAATAGACCAAACCTGTTGAACGAGGGAAGTGAGGAATGGACGCATAGTCAAATTCGATCCGCGAGTCGGGCTCAATAGTATCTGCAAGCCCTCCCAATCCTGAGCCACATACAATTGCGACATGAGGCTTCTGCAAAGCCTCTGGCAACTTGGCTCTGAGATAAGAAACTGCTTCGTTTGCCCGCTCAAACGAGGACAGGTCTGTTTTCGTCATTTTTGCAGGAGTTGGCCTTGTCGTATATACGGGCTGGAAGAAATAGAATATATGCAAGAGAAGGTAGGATTGCGCTTAGAAGCGATGTTTCCAAGTGCGGAGTCACATGGTTCCATTGCCCAAGTCGCTAGTTTGGCGGGGGTGCAATGACCCGATTCATATCAGGACTCGTTTGAGATAAGCTGGATCTTTACATCCAATACCTCCAGCCGTCTTCAAGCAGCAGTTTCCATTCAAAGGGCTGGAAAAAGAGTAAATTACCTACGAAGACACATGGGCATATAGACGGTAGTATAGGGCATCGTTGCACATTCGTGGCTTTAACCTTGGAATCATAATCAGATTAATCATCGATCCCTGCAAAACGGTTTATCAAAATTTATCATGATCGTATCGAGATTAGTGTATAGTCTATCGTAGATAGTAAATATATCACTGTCCGGAGTACTCCGTAGTCTCAATCGCTGTCTCTATGTTGTATACCCAAATTCCCCACTCACCGCCCTGGACTCGCTCCCCGAAAAAACCCATCCGCTAACAACAACGGATCTTCCTCAAAATCACGATTAACAATGTTCTCATACACATCGCGCTCCTTGATTGGAGTGAGCAAGCACCTGAGGGTATGTACCCATTTTGTTGGAGTCACAATTCCCGCGCTAACAGCTCCTTCGAAGGTGCCTGTGCCATTCCGCTCTCTATCATCCCCAACCCAGCCAACTCCGCCGGAGCAAGAGAAGACATCCGCCCAAGACCCAACATCGACACCTACACCAGTCGCTCCTGTAGAAGCTGCCCCTGTGGCTCCTACTCCTGCTGCTACTCCTGCTGCTACCTCCGCTGCTACCGCCCCTGCGTCGACTATTCCAGTAGCGTGAGATACTCTTCAAATCTAGTACAATTTGGGTTTGTGACTGATTGAGACAATTCAGATCAACGGAGGCCGAGCAGATCACCAAGCCTAGCGTTAAGGAATGGTTAGTATCTAACGCGATTGACTCAATACCAAAATCTATCAAAGATCACTGCTCACAGTTTGGTTAGGGCTGAACGGTTAGGAGCATTCGACGAGGAGAACCGACTTCCACGAAGCGTGCAAGCCATATACCTACGTCCTTTGCGGAGAAAAGCAGAATACGGCCTTCCTGTCTGCGACCTTCAATTGCGATCATACAGCGTCCGTAATGTGGAGTTCTTCGCTGACTTCGCCATCCGTGCCGCTTACTACCTCAACCTCCCCGTGTCCGGGCCTGTGCCTCTCCCCCGCATCGTTGAACGCTGGACCGTCCCCCGAAGCAACTTCGTGCACAAGAAGAGCCAGGAGAACTTTGAACGTATCACCCTCCGTCGACTGGTTCAGATCAAGGATGGAAACCCGCAAGCGGTGCAGGCGTGGCTTGCATTCCTTCGGAAGCACGCGTTTTACGGAGTTGGCATGAAGGCAAATATCTGGGAACACGATAGTCTCGGTATGGTTATACCTTTTGCTCTTCATCTCCTCTTTTCGTCCGGATGGCGTCTTCATTGATCAAGGCACTAACCATTATTTCTACAACAGATGCTGGTAAGGCTATGGATGCTTCTGTCGCCGAGGTGGAAGAGGCCCTTCGCCCTGAGCTTGCGCAATTCGGTCAACGGAAGGACAATTCGGCTCCGGGCACTATATTCGATACTTTGAACAGTGAGCGATTCGGAGAGCGCAAGGGTCTATAGATGGAATGGTGATCTACTGCTGAACTTGTATACCCGTGAACATCCGGAATTTGTGTCTTTGCTGCAGGCGCTGTCTTCATTATATTCAAAAAGCCTTCTTGATCTAGGCCATATGTATTTTACTGTTTTACTATTCTCATTTAAGTCCAGTCGAAAGGAAGCTTATATATACTGAAAGAGATTCTTCGCACAACCAGTTCCTTGATAGAAATGCTATTTCGGATTGATTTACACTATGTGAGATTAGCCCATGAGAATAGCAATGATGCCCACCTGCGCACTACCGTTCTATGCCGATACATTGTACGATGGTAGTCACGTGTTAAATTTCGCGTTTCGCGTTTTTCGGGGTCTAGGGATTTCGGCTGTACAAAGTGATTGCACCTGAGAATTTTTCTTTTTTCGCACAGTGGACGTTTATTGGAGATGTCTGCCAACGCGATGCGTCGTGAATTTGCCTCGCTGGGGTCATTGCGTGCGAAACATCTCCATATCCGTCCAAGCGGGCTCTCCCTTCTCCCAAGGAGATGCCATCGATGGAACAGCTCAAACACCACACCGCCAGCACATAAGCCTATTATATTTTCTGGCATTCAGCCCACTGCTGTACCTCATCTGGGCAATTATCTAGGAGCTTTGCATCAATGGGTGAAGCTCCAGGATAATGCAGCCGAAGGAACCAAGCTATTTTTCTCTATTGTTGATCTACATGCATTGACAGTACCACAAGACCCAGCTCAATTGAAGAAATGGAGGAAGGAGGCCTTTGCAACGTTGCTTGCTGTAGGCCTGGATCCTAAACGCTCTGCAATATTCTACCAGTCCAGTGTAGGTTCCGTCTTATAGCTGTCGGCCGCCAAACCACCATAGAATTTTTACATTGACATTCCTCAGGTGCCAGCACATGCTGAGTTGATGTGGATTCTCAGCACGGTGGCTTCCATGGGGTATCTGTCGCGTATGACACAGTGGAAGGTGAGCGGCCCTAGAATTCTTACATGCGGAAGGCATTCTATTAACACCCTCCAGAGTAAACTACAACTACCAGAAGATACCACACTTGATGACTCGACGGCACGGGCACAACTGCGACTTGGTCTTTTCTCCTATCCAGTCCTACAGGCTGCTGATATCCTTGTGCATAGGTATGTTTCCTCGTCTATATTGGCGTGTCCTTTACTAATGGCCATCAGAGCTACCCATGTTCCCGTCGGGGAGGATCAAAGACAGCACCTGGAGTTTTCCAGATACACTGCGAATAGCTTCAATCACCTCTATGGGCCTATCTTCCCCATCCCAGAGGCATTGATATGTAAGATCACAGTTTGCCCTGACCAGGCGGAACAGTATGGGTAGACCAGGCACTAACTTGACCAGCCCCTGCCAAACGAGTCATGTCCCTGAAGGAACCCACCTCAAAGATGTCCAAATCCCATGCAGATGAGAAATCCCGGATCATCCTTACCGACTCACCGGCCGAAATCCGCAAGAAGATCAAAGTTGCCCTAACAGATTCGGAACCAAGCATTACCTATGACCCGATCTCACGACCTGGCGTCTCTAACCTTATCGAGATCCTTAGTCACCTGGAAGGTGTATCATGCGAAGATATTGCGGCTGACTTCCACACCGCAAGTCTCCGTGCGCTCAAGGAACACGTTGCAGACCGGATTGCCTACCATTTACAAGAGATCCGAGACCGGTATATTACGATCATGGATGATAAGACCGGGTACCTGGAGTCAGTGGCTGAGGAGGGAGCCGAAGCAGCGCAAGCCAACAGCCGGGAGACCATGCGGCAAGTTCGGGATGCGATGGGTCTGTGAGTGGCAAGCAGGATGTATATATTGTACAATAGAATAGTGAATGATTTGTATAATACGATGTACCCGGCCTTGGAACATAAGTAGAAGAGTCAGATATGAATACACTCTGGAGCCCAAGGTGGGCTGAAGTGGAGTCATCTGCGTCATCACCATCCACTACGTATGTAGCCTACGTATGCTAGGAACTTACTAATTCTGGTTTTGTTTAGATTGATTATGAATTACGGAGTAGAGACTAAAAGTAATAGGTAAAAGTTATGAAGTGCGCGCCGTGTAGATTGTGTAGGTTGTACGGTGGGTTTATGCTTGGTGACGACAGCACTTGGGATTCCGCCTTACCCGTCAAACTGGGCAAAGTAGAAGTATACAGTGCCTAGCCGGCTGGACCGAGTAAGTTATGGAAAGATATCAACAACCCTCGTCAATTTCTTTTCCTTCTTTACCTCTGCTTTCTTTCCAACTTGCTCCAAGTCGCTCACCCATCACTTTAGGGCATCTTCTCAGCAGTTCACATATCTTGTCGATCTCCCATACGGACTGTCGGGATCGGCGCTATCATGAAGAATACATGGATCTTATTGGCTACTAGCCTACTGCCAGTCTGGGGTATCACTCTTCATCGAAGGGATAATCCTGCAGTGGTGCAAATGGATATTCAACGAAAGGATATTCTCGATCCCGTCGCTAGAGACCAGGCAAGACGGAAACGTTCCGAGACAGTCAGTCAAGCATTGGATAATGAGGTAATATATCTATATATATTTTTAGACCCATTTGATGCTGAACTTGGACACTAATGTTTCTGCCTAGGAAACTCTATACTTCTGCAATGTCACTGTGGGTACCCCAAAGCAGAGCTTACGTCTGGTTCTCGACACTGGCAGTAGTGATTTGTGGTGTAATACGCCAAATTCTACTCTTTGTGAATCCGCCAAGGCTCCTTGCGCCCAATCGGGTACTTACAACCCGAGTGCTTCCTCTTCATATTCATTTGTGAACTCGGACTTCAACATTAGTTATGCCGATGGATCGAGTGCTACCGGAGACTATGTTTCCGACACTCTCGTCATCGGAGGCACAACTCTCAAAGACTTCCAATTCGGCATTGGCTTTTCCTCGGGTTCTCCGGGTGAGTGATCTGTGTTTATAACCTGATTTCTGATAGAACTGACATTGATGCTTGTGTACAGAGGGTGTCCTGGGTATAGGATATACTGCGAATGAAGTCCAGGTTGGCAGAAATGGAGACTCGCCGTATGCCAACCTGCCCAAAGCAATGGTCAACAAAGGAATAATTCAATCAAATGCCTACAGTCTCTGGTTGAACGACCTGGATGCGAGCACAGGCTCAATCTTGTTTGGTGGAGTTAATACGAAAAAATATCATGGCACCCTCCAAACAGTTCCCATCCAGAAGGTCCACGGACAGTACACGGAGTTCGTCATTGCGCTCACCGACGTTACCCTAACGGCTAATACCAGTGAGGTTACCCTTTCTTCGAGTTCCATTCCTGTGGGTGTACTACTTGATTCGGGAAGCTCTCTTTCATACCTTCCAGACGCCCTTGTCGCGGATATCTACGAAGGGCTCGGAGTCTCTTACGAGGCGGACAGTGGTATAGGCTATGTTGAATGCGACATAGTACAGCAGGATATCACTATCGGTTACACGTTCTCATCCCCGACGATCAACGTGAACATCGACGAGATGGTCATCGATGTTGGCGATCTGTATTTCAAGAACGGCAAGCGAGCCTGCGTTTTCGGTATTGTTCCTGCGGGAGGCAGCACGGCAGTCCTGGGAGATACGTTCCTTCGCAGTGCGTACGTGGTATACGATCTCGCCAATAATGAAATCTCCCTTGCCAACACCAACTTCAACGCCACCGAGAATGATGTCTTGGAGATCGGGACTGGCAGTGATTCTGTCCCCGGTGCGAGCGAAGTCTCGAACCCAGTGACGACTGCGCCAGTCGGTGGCGCCGGTGCTCGCATTGGAGGTCCGCATGGAGGATCCACCGGCATCTCTGGCTCGGCCACTGCCACAGGGAATATGGGTATCCCTAGGGCGACAGCTATGCCAAAGCATCTGGCGGTCGGCCTTGCTGGAGTTGGAGCTATTCTGGTTCTCTGAGAGCTTTGGATGATCACGCAATCTTATGTATATATCTTGCATCTCGTGGTGTACTTGGAGTCTGGGAAGGCTATGCTAGAGTTCTTTTCCGTCATACTCCCAATTATCTGGTTTTGTCTTATGAATCGTACGGCATCCGTATTATTCAATACCTGATCCAAATCCAGCGGTGTATATGTAGGTGTATGTACCGGATTTTAGACCGCGGATGCGAATTTCCCGATTGGGGTGCCGCCGCTTGATGAGGGGGCTCAGGGTCCTGTTCACTGCACAGGGTGATTACTCAGTATACTCAAGGGTATGCGACAGCGCTTAATTAGCCATCTATTCTGTGATACTAGCGTCAACAACTAAGAATTCACGTAACATTGATCAGCCTTTTTTGTTGATAGCCCCTGCCCTCAGGAAAGTTATTCACTCGTATGGTCTCTAAGAAAATGATGAGGTGTGAAATTATACGGCTTATACCTTTCTGTAAACACTACAATCTCTGAGCACGGTCAGAACCGTCGCCTATAGGCTTTATCTAGGCCTAATTTCAATGGGTCTGGGTCGAGGGCGTAGGGCCAGCAAGCCGGTTCGGTTCGGGCCGAGTCTTGGCGTGTATCAGAGCTTTGGGAGGTAAGAACAATGAAAGGAGACAAAAGGACAGGTGGTATTGACTCGATGTGGAAACCCACTTTTGATCAAAGATTTAGAGTTCCTCTATGCGAGGCTACAGGTATAGGGGAAGAAAGGAAGAAAGAGAGAGAAAAGATTTCGAGAGACCGTTGTGATGGAATGATACTGCACCGGACACGCTAGAGACATATATATCGCTCACATTGTGCTCACACCCCGTCAGTACCACTCCCTGATAGCACAGCCAATCTAGCCTGTTCATCTTTGACACGGAGAGAAAAACCTACGATGATTTCAGCCAGATCCCTCATGTGAGATTTCTTGCCGATATCCCATGGACCGTACTCGTGCAAGTGGAGGAATCTATTCTCGGGGTAGCTCTTCAACCCTTGAAATTCTCCCTTTAGGAACTTTACATAGTCCTCGTGGTAGCGGGCAAGTGTCAAATACATATCATGTCGATTCAAAGAGATTAAGAGGCGCCTATAGCACTTAGCACGAAAATATACAAATATTCAAACTCCACTTACGTTTCGAATGGATGACGTCGTAGATTCTCCTCATCATTCATGATCCAGCTAACCATTTCTGCGCCTTCTTGCCACTCGACCAACGGATATTGCTTGGGGTCCCGGATTCCTGCCTTTACCTCCACAATAGCAAAGATATCGCTTTTCTTAACTCCCATAAGGTACCTGTCGACATATGCGGTTAATTGGACTTCTCCAAAAGACACGCTACCGAATAGATTACCATTAGGGGACTATTGGCAGTTCACGCCCTGGCCTACGCTGAGTGTCAAAGCGTTGAGAAGGTTGATCACGAATTGGTTCACCTGCGGTTCTCCATCCGCTCTGGAGTACTTGACCCACTTCCTCGAGGCTGCAGTAGACACTTCCGTTGGCACACTTGAAGCGGCAGCACTAGGACTGCGTCCCGCGGTATCTGCTGATAGTTGAAGAGCTTGAGGTCGATCTCGACGCCGAAGTTCAACTGTCTGGGAAGGTTCCTGGGAATCCGAAGCTACTATCGCAAGCTGACCCTGTCTCACTAGGGCGAACATGCTAAGCTTGCGGTCGGTTGGGTACTGGTCTGTTTCGATGTATGAGAGCCACGTCTGTATTGCTTCGTCCCCCTTAACCATCTCTTTGGCTCTGCCTTCAGTTTCTCGGTCGAAGAATTCGGTGATGTTGGAGACCCTCCGAATAATCCTCATGCTGAGATATTCCTTGAACGTGACCTTTGAACCTGGGTGCAGACACTCGAGCTTGCTTGGATTTTTGGTCAGGACGTGGCAACCGCGCGCGCTGGCTCTCCATTGACTGACGGTCGAGGGCACCTTCGGTGCTGGAGGGCGGGGTGAAGGGGGTTCCATGGTTACTTGAAATCTGCTTTTTCTGATGAGTGTCCGTGGGAGAAAGATGAGAAATCAGTCGCCTTTCCATTAACGAAACCAAAGGTTGTTAGCTGACAAAGCGGCACAAACCTCTATGGCTAGGTACTTACCTACCTAGGTAGAGAAACAGGTCTTATTAAGTCACCAGATGAAGTCGTATTAATCTATATAGAAATTATCCTACAACCTCAAGACTAATAGACGATAGTTTAATCGAAAATTCATTGAATAAGACTACCATAAATATTGTTCTATTACTACTATATAAATACATAGGCCTAGGCTGTTGGATGATATTGCTGTTGTCGAAGATAGATAGGTTGGTTTTGAGTATAACGAGACATTATAGGGCTGTACTTAAAGATAAGGAGTACTACATAAAACATTAAATGTGGATCCTGGGCGAGAGATCTTAAGGTTTGAAATCTATATCTTCAAGTTCGTATAGCCCTAAAATTGGTAGTGCTACTTATAGATATAGAGAGAGATATATTTTGTAATACTTTGTGGTGGGGTCTGTATTAAATAGCTAATTCAAGCTCATAGACGTGATAGGGCCGACAAGAGAGCCAATGATAGGATTCGGCTCTTCTAAGGCTATCGGAACTGGCTGGCTCATATCATAACGAATGAAGAGTTCAACTGGTGCCGTTTCGTCATCCGCAAAACTCCATAGCTGAGAATATTGCAAAAGCAAGCTTTCTCCATGTAATGAAGCTTGAATTATTCTTCCATGTTTCTGTCCAGTGTATGAAAGAACCAGCAACTATAAAAAATAAGTGAGTGCTTAAGAAATCTCTAGTAGCTAGGAAGTGTAAGTAAGATACTAACTGGATGGATCGGGTGGTCCCGGAACGGCCGATTGGATGTTCGAGCAACCATCACGGTTACAACAGCACTTACTTCTTGGAGAGTAAGGCAATTCTCTGCATGATTTGCGGGAACATCGGATAAAAGTTCCATAATTGCATGTGGGTTAAAGCTTGGCTGAAAATCTTCTCGGAGACTTAGTATACGCCAATGGTTTCTTCTATTAAGCCCACATAGATCAGGAGCACTATGCTTCCATTTCTTCCTGGTATACTTAGTCCCTAAAAACAGTAGAGTAAAAGAGAAAAAGTAAAGTGCACTAACCTCCGTTCGTAGATAGGTCTTAGATCGTCAAGAGTAGAGTCCCGGGAAAGCCCTCTCCGAGGAAGCATCTGCTGGGATTGAATATGCCAACGTGTCTGTCTGGCATGATCTTCCCAGGCATCCGGCCCATATAAAAGTGTTAATGTATCCCATCTTGATTTAGCGAATTCCAGGGGATTTTCGACCTTAAGGTCATTCTGGACTTCTCGTAAAAGAGTCTGGAAGTCTGGGGGGTTATTAAGCCGTTGAAGAGTCTGTGGAGGATGGTCCGCAGCCATCGAAACCGTATCGAGTGGATATTTTTGAAGCACCTTTTCCGGAAAAGGCCGAAAGAAACATGGATTAAATTGTACAGAGCCGTCACCTGTCATGCTAGCTTGCTGGCTATAGACTCCGAGGCCTTGGAGATCACTAGGGGAAAGAAACCAAGATTCGTAACTCTTAAGTAGTTTGTAGAGTCGCTTAACTTCATCGCAACGCCTGGTCTGGGTTTGTTTATCCATTTTCGTATGAGAGGGGAAGATTCAAGAACCCCGAGAACGAAAGAAAATCAATAGAATTGATGATGAATGGAAGTGACGATGGAGTGTGGTCGTCAATATGTTGGATGGTCAGGTGACCTTAGGCAGGCCACGGAGACGTAGACCTCATTAAAAACATTTTGGGCGGGCACTCTGAGGGCGGGCGACCGTCATCGGCCCTCATTTGCATTAAAAGAGTTGAGCTTCCCCAATTTAGACGTATAAAACTACTAAGTATTCTTAATAAATTATTGTTATTTAGCACTGCTTAGGTTTGGATATTACTTTTATCATTTATTTCTATATTAAGATTATGAAATCTTAAGAAATTGAGTTATATTATAATTAATCATAGTATGTAATAGTGACATTGTAGATTTTCAATCTCTAAGAAAAGTAGTGGTTAATAATTTAAAGGTTGCTATCTTATCAGATGGAATAGATATATATATTCATAGTAGTACTTATATGGTACATACTTTCATTCATACTACTAAGCTGTAACTAGAATACTAAATAATACCGCCGAAATCTGCATACTTATATATCTAAACACCTAGGCAGAGTTCTATGTTTGTCATATTTGGAGGGCCGCCCTCTGAGGGCAAGAAAATCACCGCCCGACCCGCGGGCGGGTTCAAGGCCTACTTACGATGTCGAGGTCGCTAGAGCGCTAGTCGTATTCCTAGGAGTAAACGGTAGGTAGTAAGAGCGATAATCCGTTAAAAATCAAGCAAAAAAATCAGAATGAAACACTTATAGATTTATAAACTATCTAATCGGGGATTCTGAGATATTTCTAGATATTATAGAACTAAAAATTGAGGGTTAGATATTTTCCGTAACTATAGAGAGACGGTATCGTGGATATAAGACTCGGTGAGTTAAATAGTGGTGTAGCTATATAATAGTAAAATTAATATAGCCCCCCTATGAATTTGTCTCCTAGCTAGAGGCGAAACAACCAGGACCGACCGCCAAATTGATAACACCAGCCTTCGTCGAGGGGACAACGGTCAAGAGTTCGAATGAACAACTATATTTGGTTGGGGCTAGCGTGGTGTATTTTATTGAGGTGAGCTGCTGACTTAGCTGCTTTCGCGTTCTCTCTGTTCGTAATGATCAGGTGATGCTAAGTGAGCGATTCTGATGATTATATAATACTCAGGGGCGTCCACAGGTGCTCAGTTTTACTCAGTGAGCAAAAGCGGCGAGGGTAAGCACTAAAACGGAAAGGGAAAGTCATCTCGCTCGGCCTAAAGTCTGGTGTATATGTAGATCAATTTGAACATATATAGGCTCTTTGCTAGATGTATGTACGGGGTACATGTACAATTTGTATCTTGGCATCAACGGGAATCTCTTGGCACCAAAGTTCCTCGACTGACCCTCGAATTCCCATAATGCCCCGAATCCCCTTTTCTGTCATCATAAAAGCCCAGCGGGAGAATTATCTTTTACCTATACTTCTCAAAGAATGTCGCACAATTGATTCTGCTCGCAATGAACTTCGCTGGCTGCGTGAGCGGGCAGTTCGCGATTGCCAGTCTCTTTCATCAAAGGCGGGATGGAGGAGCCGATTGAAATCTATGTGTCAGAAGCGATCTAGAGGATATCCTCTCCAATATATCCTTGGAGATCAACCATTTGGCGAATTGGAGATTCTCTGTCGAGAAGGCGTTCTGATCCCAAGGTCTGCCTATTACATTTCTAGAAAAGCGATATCTCTTGCTGACACCCTTTCACAGGCCAGAAACCGAATCATATACATATCAAGCGGCTAAATTAGTCCGTCAAATGGCTCAGGGCCGTAAAAAGGCGTCCAATTCTCCCGACAAGGCGAGACCCTTGCGTGTCATTGATCTTTGCACTGGCACAGGTTGCATACCACTTCTTCTGCACGCGTTACTTGCTCCTCATTTCCAGCAGCTGGAGATAATAGGAGTGGATATCAGTTCCACAGCCTTAGCCCTAGCCCATGAGAACCTTGAGCATAACCTGCAACTGGGCCAATTGGCATCCACCGCAGCCGCAGACGTCCGCCTCCATCGCGCCGATGTCCTCGGACACGGAAATGACAATTCAGTACCATCCGCTGAGTCAATACTGCAAACCCAACTTCCCGATTTGGGAGCATTGGACACCGCACTACCCGACCAAGAAAGTGGATGTGATCTATTAATCTCCAATCCGCCCTACATATCCCAAACAGAGTTCCGAAATGGCACCACTGCGCGTAGTGTACGGCGTTTCGAGCCCAAGCTGGCACTTGTACCCCCATACTCAAGCTCCAGGATAGAAGACTGTATGCCCGAGGATATCTTCTATCACCGCATTCTCACTCTGTCACTCAAGTTGAAGGCCAAGCTTACGGTGCTGGAGTGTGGGGATTCTAAACAGGCTAATCGAGTGATTGCTCTTCATAAACGACTTGCTTGTGCGGAATCTGAGAAGTTCAGTGCGGAGATTTGGCCGAGTCGAGAGCAGGATTTGGCTAGTAATGGGTTTCATGTGACTGACGGATCGCGAGCTGTTATCATACAGACACTCCGGTAGCATACACAAGGTGTACCATATATATATATGCATGAATTTTCGGCCTTCAGATGACCAGTGGAAGTTGCCAACGCATTGAAGAAAAGTGTACAGAAAGACTAACCAAGTGCATTCGAGCCACCCATAGAAAAAGAAGAAGAAACGAACATTATGTACAGAATGGGGTAGAATCACCAAGGCAGTGCTGGTGGTCGGTTTTTGAAGTATTAAAACAAATAAGAGATGCACAGGGCGAATTAATGTACTTGAATTAGTGTAAAAAAATGGCACGGGGAACAGCAGGGATGCAAAAGTCCAAAACCCAAAATCAGGCCAAACCAGGCCAAGGAAGCGCTGACATACGGCCCGTCTATCGGGGAGTCAGTAATGGGCCCCGATTGGTCCCCTGCAGTCTAGAACCAAGTAAGCATTGTGAAATCGTGAAGAATGTGATGTAGCCGTCCACGGGTCATTTCAAAGGTTCTTCTTGTCGGAGGAGTAGCTGCGATCATCTTCGCCCTCGACATCCTTGAGAATCGACTCCATCTCCTTGGCCTGTCGCTTCCACTCCTTGTCACCCATCTTCGTCTCTCTGCGGAAGAGTTCTTCGTTAGGCTTGCGGTAGCTGCCACCCAGACGGTCCCACAGAGTGGTAAACTGTCCGTAGTTGTAGTTGAAGTACAAGTGGTGCATGGTGTGGCAGGCAGCGCCGTTCACAATGGGGCTGTTGGCGACATACTCGCCATCATGAATGAAGACGGTCCAGAGGTTGATGAAGCCGAACAGAAAGACGTAGGCGAACTTCTGTAGAGGGAAGATGAAGGGGAAGACGTGGTATGGGACACTCTGGGACCAGCCATCGAGTGGGTGGAAAGCGTGCGAGGCATAAGGGCTGGGCATGATCCACTTGTGGTGAGGCTTGTGAAGAGTCTTGTAGACGCGGGGGTGGTGCAGGCCACGGTGAATCCAGTAGATGAAGAAATCGGTAAAGCAGATAAAGAAGGGGATTTGGATGAGGCTGTAGTACGGGAAGGGCTCGTCGGCGGTGGTGTCGTAGAGTTTAGCATAGCCGCGGACCTCAAGAACAAAGAAAGGAGCCGTTAAGAGGGACATTGGAGGCATTGCGGACATGGCCTGTCTGATCTCCATAGCGATCTGGTTCTTGAGGAACTTGGGGTGATTGTAGGTTGTCTTGTCCCAGATAAAGATGAATGAAAGCGTCGCTACCAAGAAGTAGACGAGGAGACCAAACAGCCTAATTGAATGTTAGTTCTTGTGTTGCGAAAAAAAAAAAAAGTGGCGATAAGAAATCTTGAAGGGATTGGCGCATTACCAAGTAATCAGGAAAAAGCTTGTAAATTGACGGTAGATGTTATTCCTGGGCCAAGCACTCAGGTATGCGTATTTCGAAGGTTCCAGATAGATCATCTGTGTAGCCTGCTCATAGACAAAAGGTTCCGGTCCAAAAAGGGCCATTGAAGTGTTCGCCGCCGCATTGACGAAGGCCGGCAGCGAGATGGACGACGACAGGGAGGCGGGGAGGATTGTTGAATAGAGACGATCACCAATAAAGGTGTCCCATAATTCGAGAATGATATCCATGATTGAGGGCACAGATAGGGTGGGGGGAGGGGGAAGAGAAGAGGAATTGAGAGGTACTTGAAGGAAGCAAAAAAAGGAGATCCACGGCGAATAACAAAATAGTCACACCAGCGCGGAACCGCCACAGCCGTTGCGATGCCACCTCTTAATAAGCCAATTCCTCCAGGGGTGGATGGTCTGATGCGGGATATATAGTTATTTTATGAGTGGACGGTCCTATATGTTGAAGTAGAATATTACAATGTCTTTTTTTTTATCACTTGTACCTCTATGGATCTATGAATCTACGTTGTACGGAAAAGAGAGTAGAAGCTTAAAAAAGAAGAAAAGAACACGGATGCCCCTGGTTTGCCACAGTCGATACCTTAATGCCTTAATGCCTGCGCCATACTGTGGCTAATCAGGGCCTTATAAGTCAGGCACAAAACAAATACTTAGTTACATTGGTAACTAGTTAATTACAGTGTACTCCGTACTCCGTACGGAGTACGGAGTACAGTGACCAGACATAAGTAATTGTATCTTCTTTGCCCGCCTTCACCACCAACACCGCCTTCCTAATCCATGAATTGAACCGTCCTTAAATAGCACTGGGAGCTACTTCTCTTAGAGATAAAGATTGCATTTCATATTTCTAGACCTTATAGTCTCGTCCTTTAGCTGCACGCTATACCAAGTAAAGATAACTGAAATGACGGGAATTCTTTTGACTGGCAGAATATTACATAATACAAAGTGTGTGGGGCCAGGACGCAATTACATCCATACTCATGTCCAGTCGCTGTAATTGTACAAATTGGTACTGCACGGGCCAGTTCCACTTCCGCTTCCCGTACTCAGAGGTACCTCCACTGCCCGCACTTGCGGGTGTAGATCCAAGTACATATTTCCTGGTATTTCGGGTATCTTCAGCCGGAATACAAAATACAGGTTTTATTGAACATTGAAACCTCGCGATCTGGACCCATCCAATGTACTACGGAGTACGATGTACGCATTGACAAAGTACATTTGTACTTTGATCTCAAACTCCCAGGGCTATCTTGTCTCATATCTGTATATATACAGTACTGATCTCTAAATGTCTGATTGAACGATTTCTTTCATTTAGTGTTCCATGTTATACGTTATACATATAATGTGCAAGATTAGAAGGTAGTCCACGGTACCCGCGCTTCTCGCCTATGACCTCGCTTCTCGCGTCAAACCACTACCGCCCTTCCCCCAAACTCAAACCTTCCCGCTTTAAAGTGTCATCTGCCAGCCTCTTCCACCCCTCTTACCGCTACACCCCCATTCTCATCCCCCAGCTTATATTGTACCGCCCACTATCGCTGTGGCTAGCTGCGCGGTGCTATCCACCAAGCATTGAAGCCTCAGTGATCAAGATCATTGAGTCCAGGTCAAAACCTTGGTTGCGATCCCATTCGCTGACCTAGAGCTGCCATCCGAACGTCCTTTTTGTCCTTCTGTGACTTGTGAAAATCAGCAAGAAAAAAATACCCCAACATGTACAACGCTCATCGCGGGATGGTGCCCGCTCCCAACTCCCGTCTGACGGAGTTGCTGGATCAACTGCGCCAGGAGTTCGAAAGCCAGTCGCGAAACACCGGTGAATTCGAACATCAGTGTATGTTTCCCTTCCAACATATGGTTACCTCCCTCCTATGCCCAGGCCATTTGCGCTCCAGAGCTCTCCTCCTATCCAATCATTTCATATAGCTGTCAGCTCATTTCCCCAATGACTGCAGCTCCATGGGTTCCGACATTCGCTGAAATGTTATCTAACTGACAGATCATGCAGTGACTGGTCAACTCCAGGAGATGGAGATGATCCGTCAGAAGGTCTATCAGCTGGAACAGGCGCAGATCAAGATCAAGCAAGAGTTCGTCCCTTTGCCTCCCTGGAAGCTTGAGTAGTCCTTTCTGACATCGCATTTCCTTTTTTTATTTTTTTTTAGCTATGAAGCTGAAATCCGAATGCTGCGACATGAACTCGAGTCGCGCGGCGTGCAAACTATCCCTTCCCACATCGGCGGACCCGCTGCGGCTCACACAGCTCCTTCCCAGGCTCCTCCACCTGCCTTGGGCCACGGCCCCAGCAATCTGTTTGGCGGTATCATGACCAACCCACCAGGTAGTGGCCCCGGTCTTGCCCCTTCCCTCCCCCAGGATCAGCAGCCTCCCCAGCATCCCCTTCAACAGCCTGCTTCGGTCGCTCAGCCTGGCGCGCCGCAACCCCAGCAGAGCTCCTTTGGAGGATACCCGGCTGGCGCTGCTGTGAACGGTATGTCATTGTGTTTATGAAAATCGTCGCCCAGTACGCTGACTTGTTGGATTGTTCGTCTCCCAGGCTACGGGCCTCCTCCGCCTCCTACTGCATCCCCGGGCCCCGGTAAAGGCCGTGGTCGTGTTCCCCCCGGCCCAGGTACCCCCCAGCAAACGCACATCGCCTACCCGGATCCTCGTGCATCCCCTCAGATCCCTCGCCCTACTCCGAACCCTCCTCTCGGCCGCACAGCCGAGCGTCCGGGAAACATGCTGGCAAATTGGAACCCCGATGATCTGCCTCCGTCGCAGAAGCGCGAGGGTTCCGATTGGTACGCCGTGTTCAACCCCGAGGTCCAACGTGTCCTGGATGTGGAGTTGGTGCATCATTTGAATCACGATAGTGTTGTTTGCTGTGTGCGCTTCAGTCGTGATGGCAAGTACTTGGCTACAGGCTGTAACCGCTCGGCTCAAATCTTCGACGTGACCACCGGTCAGAACGTGGCCACTCTGCAGGATGAGAATGTTGATAAGGACGGCGACCTTTACATTCGCAGTGTTTGCTTCAGTCCGGATGGAAAATACCTTGCGACTGGTGCTGAAGATAAGCAGATTCGGGTAAGTCTTAGGGCTATATGAAATCAGCAGCGTATGGGATCACTGACTGAATGCGATTGGTTCTAGGTCTGGGATATCAACCAGCGCACGATCAAGCATATCTTCAGTGGACACGAGCAGGACATCTACTCTTTGGACTTTGCTGGCAACGGTCGATTCATCGCTTCTGGCAGTGGAGACAAGACCGTACGCCTTTGGGATATCCTCGATGGCAAGCTTGTCTACACCCTTAGCATTGAGGATGGTGTCACTACCGTGGCTATGTCTCCGGATGGCCGTTACGTGGCTGCAGGTTCGTTGGATAAGAGCGTGCGCGTCTGGGATACTACGACTGGATACCTGGTGGAGCGCCTGGAAAACCCAGATGGCCACAAGGACAGTGTCTACTCGGTCGCGTTCGCGCCCAATGGCCGTGACCTTGTCAGTGGCAGTCTGGACAAGACTATCAAGCTCTGGGAGCTTACCGTTCCCCGGGGCATGCACCCCCACAGTGCCATCAAGGGCGGCAAGTGTATTCGTACATTCGAGGGCCACAAGGTTAGATCTGATCTCGCTTTGAGAGATGGACAGAAGCTAACTTCAAACCACAATTTAGGACTTTGTTCTCAGTGTTTGCCTGACACCGGATGGTGCCTGGGTGATGAGTGGTTCCAAGGACCGCGGTGTTCAATTCTGGGATCCGGTGACTGGAAATGCCCAGATGATGCTTCAAGGCCACAAGAACTCTGGTGAGTTTCAACGTTTGCATTGTCATCTATACTTCTCTAACTCCATATAGTCATCTCCGTTGCGCCCAGTCCTACTGGCAACTTGTTCGCGACCGGCAGTGGAGACATGCGTGCACGAATCTGGAGGTAAGTGTTTTTCCTGACTGTATTTCAGATCATAAGCTGACTCCTCTATAGATACTCGGCGTACACTGGACGATGAAAGGGTTGATCCTTTGGGCGTATGATGTTTTTGCTTTGGTTATGGGCTTTATTTATGTTGAACTTGTTTCTATTTTTTTTTACCCTATACACCTTGGTGTATACGTGCACACCTTTTTTCAATTCCAAAATTGCCATTTTCTACATTGCCTGGTGTATTATGTTTTGTAGTAGACGTAAAAGGTCACACGGACACACATTCTGGAACGAGCTGAATTTCATCCCAACAACACCATCCCTGTCCGTCTGAATCATCACAGAGCCTCCGAACATTCTTCGACTCCGAAATACTCTTGAATACGTTGAGCCGAACATTACCTTATGGAAAGATTGGTAATATACACCTCAAGTCCCCCTACGGAGATGTACATGCTGATCCAAATCTCATCAAAGCATGCTTAATGGGGGCGTATATGCAGAGTCTAGATGCCGTCGCCTATTCAGGAAGTAGTTCGTGAAGACTAGTCGCATCCCTGCAGGAACCATTCTCAAGTCCCGATACCTCACCTTGACGCAGGACGTGCAGGGTTACCACTCGTGTCAGATTGCCATGGCTGTCACTTTTCGGACCGTCCCCCAGTCTGGAGCTTAGATCATGAGTGGTCATGATCGACATGGCCCATGGGCCAAGCCATTTGGTGCACTTTAGGGGGGGGCGCAAAATATCCAAAACATCGAGACTAGACCAAAGCCCGTGCTGACTCCTCCTATGGGGGCCACAATCGACTCCCACCTGGGCATCCACTTGCCCCAAAAAAGAGAGAGAGAGAGAGAGACAGATCGCACTGGCCGGGAGAAAGACGAGTTGATTGGCTCTTCGAGGAGGAAATTTAGATCACCGGACTGAATTTTCCAGGGCCATAGGCGGCTAACTGGGATATTTGATGGGCTGAGATCGGACACTATTGGCGACTATCGGGATGGCGCATCCTGGTACTCGTAATTACGGCCGAGCTGGCCATTGAGCGATTGCTGACTCCGAGATCGACTGAATAATCTACATGTCGACTGCAGGTCGATCACGGTCCACTTGGGAATTCCGCGATTTGAAGGCCCGGCCCGTCTCCTCGAGGGGAAAGATGCACAGCACGATGGGTTTGCGTGTTTCCTTTCTTTTTTTTTTTTTTTTTGAGATTGAGTCTGACAGATGTCAGTCTCTTCAGCAATATCAATTACAGGAGTGTACAAAATACGGGGAAGCATGGGAAGTATAAGGGGAAGTTTGATCCAAAGGCTTTCGTCGCCAGTCGCGGCTGCGAGTATATTTTCGTGTGACTGACACACATTTTCACACCGAATGTGTCGAAATACATTACCACTAATGAGAATTACTATTCCTCGTGGTACAGGAAATCGATGCGTCCAAAGCAAACCATGCATCTCATGGACCATGCAATGCACCTGTATGCTCCAATGCTTCGGGGCTTCAGGGCCAGGGCTTTCGGGCTTCAGGAACCCCAGGAACTCCAGTTCGTCCCCGATGGATTTGATTTATATTTTAATTCCCGGTGGAGTCAGGTCGCCGCAATCACCCAGGATCCCCGGCCCACGGAGATCGTCGAATCAAACACTTGGTATACAGTACGGAGTACGCATTGCATGTATCTCTGGACTTGAACTGCCTTTCCTCCCCCCTTTTTTTTTCCTTGCCATTTCCCTAAACGTCATACAGGCGATCAGAATGGGGCTTTTCGACTCTCTTTTCACCAGCTGACTCCATTCCCCCTGTCGCCCCCGCCATTGCATTGGGGCCCTGGTATATCTAGATCGGGAGGCGCCACGGTCGATGCGGAAGATCATCGCTAGTTGTCAATCATTATATTTCTCACTCTTCAGGGCATGACCTGCATATATTTGCTATTTCCTTTCCCCTCATATATAGATTCAGATCTATAGACTGATTACGCTTTGGTCGGCCTGTTTGTCTATTTTTCCCTATCCTTGCTTCTTTTTGAAAAGCAACTCGCTGCCAGCCAAAACCCAAATACCACCGGGGATTGGGTTTCAGAATATAGTCAAAGACTGCACAAAATAATCTCACCCCAGCGCATCCTGAGGGCAGGTATACATTGAGATACATTGGTGTCTGGTGGGAGATCCGGAGGGAGCAGGTATCCTTGCCTTTCTGAAAGATACTGAGGGGAAGACCACACGAAAAGTGAAAGATGGAGACTGCAGAGCCTGTCTCTTATGAGTTCCCCGGCCACGCCGTGGGTGCGTTTGCACACAGACGTCCGATGGACTCGACCCTGAACCAGAGCTTTCCCTTCTATTCACATCAAACAACGCCATACTCGTTGCCTTACCAGACCTCGAGTAGCTTGCCTTACAGCTTCGCCCACTCCGTGGGTCACACACATACACACCCAAATCCCTATCAGCAATACCATGTCCCTAGTCAGCACCCGATACAGCCGCAGCCACTGCGCCTCACAACGGAACAACCGTTGCAATCTCTTCCAGAGATTCGCCCAGCGAAGAACGCCATCAGCCAGACAGTAAAGTCTACTCCCGACCATGGTACACGGGTGCAGCTTTCAAATGGAGGCCACAGTTCCCCAGTCGGCACAACAGACGAAAAGCAAACACCCGCTGACATCGCCTTCTCGACCAACGTGGATGTCCTGATGAAGGCAATCCAGGCGAAGCACGCTCCGTCACCGACCCAGCAATCACTGCCACCTCTCCAGCATCTGGCACCAGCATCACAAGCCTATCCCACATCCTACCCAACTGCCTCACCGACACCCCCACGCTGCTACCATGAAAACGAAGGCCAGCTATCACGCTCAGGCAAGAAGCGCAAATACAACTGCACCCTGCCAGGCTGTGGCAAAAGCTTCGCGCAGAAAACACACCTGGACATCCACATCAGGGCACATACAGGTGACAAACCATTTGTGAGTACACAGCATATTCCTGAACAGGATTTGGTGTCAGGATCGGCGACTAATCGGTTTTGAATATGGGTAGATATGCAAGGAGCCCTCATGCGGGCAACGTTTCTCGCAGCAAGGCAACCTCAAGGTAAGCACATCACCCTCCCCCTCAGTTGCCGCAGTATGCGACAACGACGCACGAGGCAGACACTGACCTACGTCCCTAAACCTAGACCCATCAGCGGCGACACACGGGCGAAAAGCCCTTCCAATGTGAAATCTGTCATAAGCGATTCGCTCAACGAGGCAATGTCCGCGCTCACAAGCTCACCCATGATCAATCCAAACGATTCGACTGCCGTCTAGATGAATGTGGTAAACAGTTCACCCAGTTAGGCAACCTCAAGGTAAGGCTCTTTTCAACATTTCCCTTCCTATTCCTCTACGTCAGCATCATTCCCCATACAATATCCTGAACAAACCCAAGCTAACCCTCCTCCCCAAAACAGTCCCACCAAAACAAATTCCATGCAGCAACCCTCCACAATCTAACCATCCGCTTCTCACAAATGGGCGAGAACGGTCCGATGAATATGAACCCCGCAGACCGCGAACTATGGATATATTTTGCTGGGCTGTACAAAAACAGCAACAAGGGTATCAAGGGTCGTGGCAAGGACCGGCGGATCTCGACGACGAAACGATCCGATGCACAGAGTAGTTGTGACTCTATGGATCGAATACAGTCAGTTGAGTCCGAAGAGGGCGTTCCGAAGATGCAGATGCAGATGCAGATGCGTCGCGGCAGTTTTGAGGATGGGTTTTCCGTTTATAATACTTCTAGCAGTGATGGCGATGATGGAGAGCCTTATTATATTGATCGCAGGGCTCATGTTCATGTTCATGGACATGGACATGGTCCTTGAGTGGGTTTGGTTTCGGGTCTTTTTTTTTCTCCAGGGCTTCTTTTCATACTCTTGTATTTGTCGACACACCCCTTTGTGATATCCCCTTTTTATTTCTTGATTCCCCGATGATTCCCATTGTTAATTCTTATTTTGTTCTCTTTTATCTCATTTTCTTCTGGGTATGCAGGGAATCTGAATCCCGCTTGGTCGTCCTTTGATACTTTTTCCACCTCTCTCTTTACTCTTTTTCATTAGGGTTTTATCAAGATGTACACGATTCACGAGGACTTCTCATATGTATTTTGGACTTGGGGATACCCCCGTGCTGGGGTTGTACGGTTGAATCAACAGGATCTTGCTGTAATTTCTTTGCTTTTTAATTCTGTACAACACTTGGTTACGTAGCTCGGCAAGGCGTAGATCAATTACGTCTTGAATGAATTGATCGAGTTTTGGAATCAATCGGAGAGAGTTTTTCATGCCTCTGTTGGGCTTAATTCGAAGAGACCCGGAGTTAGTATACAAGACAGAGCTAGAATAAAATATGAAAAGCAGGGGGGAAAAGGCTGTCCGGGACGTAAAATCATTTATTGAAACACTTCAAAGAGATCGAATGCAAGAATGCAGCATGCAGAATATGATACCTGATCAAGATGGCATTCATATGTGTGACAACTCTATTGAGCATCTGCATCGGCAATATCCAAATCTCCATCCGCAGCATCCTCCCGCTGAGAAACAGGCGGGGCCTGGGTACCGAGGGGAGTAGCGTTAGCCAGAGCATCAGAGATGAAGGCCTCCTCAACAGCAGCCTTTCTCCGGAACACACGGAGCCAGCGACGGCCCCATTGGCGGATGATGGCGTCCTCGGGCTGAGTGCCGCTGCCATCACCGCGCTCCATCTGTTCATCGTTGCTTCCAGCAGCGACGGAGACGATCGAGTCCTCGATGTACTTGAAAAGGGCTTGCATCTCTGCGCGCTCACGAGTGAGGGTCTCATCGATGACGCTAAGCTGGGGCTCATAGAGGCCATGCTGGCGGCGGGCGGCGACGATCTGGCGCATGCGGTTGGTGACCTTGCCGACGGTAGCGGAGATCATCTCGAAGACATGGGGCTTAGAGAGAATTGTTCCTGCCGCGACGGACTCGGAGAGGGCCCATTCAAGGACGGAGAGTGGGGTGAGGATCGTATAGTTGAGCAATTTGTCGATGATGTTGATGGCAATACCAGGTTGATCGACCCAGTAGTCCATGACGGAGCTGATAATTTGGCAGCGGGCGCGTTCAGACTCCGCGCCAATGGCCAGGAGGCGATCTTTGCTGCGTTCGATGCATGACAGAACGTGAGAGAGCGACTTGGATCCGACGAAGCAGAGTGAGGTTACGAAGGCATCTGTCGAGGGGATCTTGGGATCATCGACGCCCTGGCTCTTGGCCTGGTCTTCAATGGCCGTGATGACGGGCTGAATATCTTCGTCGCTAGCCTTCTTCCGAATAAGCTGCATGAGTTCTTGTCCTTCTTTGGAGTATGGTGCCACTGGAAATTCAAGTTAGCATCTGTTTTTGGCTCGCTAATCATGGGGTAAATTTACTTTCGGAGGAATATTTGAAATCTGGTGTATCCTTCTCTTTGCCTGGGGTAATCAACTTGGGATAGGGATCGGGGAGAGTTCCCTTAATGCGCTGGGCGAAGCTAAGCCGAATTTCCTTATCCAAAGCACCTTGAATAAACGCCATTCTCGGGTCGATGGCAGGAAGATCGAGATCGTCGGCCCTATGAGATTGTTAGGTGACTGATGGCAACGTGCGAAACCTGCCGTTCTTTACTTACCACTCGCTCCATTTCCATGTGAACCCGAAGTTGCTCAGATGGTGAGCGAACCAATCCAAAAATCGGTTGCTGAGCTCCAAATCCATTGTCTCCAGGCTGTTGTACAAGAATCGGATTGCACGGCCCAAACTGGGCGCAATTGCTGCAGGGGCAATCTTGCAGCACTCGGTGAGGACAGAGTGATAGTAGACAAGTTTGTGCTCAGACGCTGGCAATTGGAATAACTGCGAGAACACTGCGTCCACTGCCACATCCTCAGGCTTCCACGGCTGCACCTCCCCAATAAGCTCGCGCATGCGGTCGAAAGGCGTGGCACGCTTCACGAATGTGGTAGGAGTGAAATAGCAGTCAATATCGATCAGGAACTTGGCAGTAGCAACACGGTTGAAGTCAAGGAGGTTGATAGTATCAACCAGTGCGTCCCGAATCAGCGAAGAGGAGATGTCTGTGATCGCAGGAACAGTGTCTACTTCTTGGTTGGCATATACCGAAAGGTAAACCTCCGGGAAGAGAGGACGCTCGCCATTCGGTACGGGGTTGGGCACAGTGATCGCGGGGAAAGGAACCTTAACCACCGATTCGAAAGACTTTGGCTCATCGGTTTCGACATCCCGGGCGTCTTTCCAGGGACGAGGGAGACACTTAAGCTCCCAACCCTGGTTGGCTTCGGATTGAAGTTGAGTCTGCATCAAACTGATAACACTTTGACCAGCTGCCTCCTGGTTCTCCTCGGCGCTGAATGAGTTCACCAAATCGACGAGGGCGTGCGGCGTAGATGCAATAATGTCTGTCTTCTCCAGAAGCGCGGAAGCCTGGGCTTCAAAGCCAGAGGCAGGGGACAGCATGACATAAGGAATGGCGAACTGAATGATCTTCACTAATTCGAGGCCAAGAAGCTGGAACAAGCTGTTAGACGAGGTTCATCCATCGTCTCAGGGAGATGTCACAACTTACATCTTCAGAAGAAGCGGTTTGGAGATCGACTGCGCGAGCGAACAGCTCTTCCAAGAGAGGGAAGATACCGTCACCCTCGTACACTGGCTGGAGAATACCCAGGAAGCGAATAAGAAGCTTGACTTCACGCCATGCGCCCATATCAATATACTTCTGCAATGCCTCCGCTGCCTTGCTCAAAACCTCTGATCCAAGCTCGGGCTTGAGACTGTGTGCGACCAGGACCGTGCCGGCGATAAAAGGAATTTTCATGGGTTGTTCGAGAACGCTGCATAGATCCAAGTAAGTAACACCTCACGGTGAACTGAATACACAGGCACGTACAGATCAAGGGAGATGTTGACAAAGTCGCGACGAATTTCCTCGTCATCATAGTTATCCGTGACTGTTTTCGCGATACCCTGAACGTCATCTTCTGCTCTGCGAGCAGCCTATCAATAAGACATAAGCGTTAGCTCATATCACCCATTTGTAGAGTGCAATGCGCGCGGCGGAAAAAAAGAGAGGTCTGTACCGATTCCGCGATGGTCAACAATTGCCGTCGGACCTGGACGAACAATGGCTCCTCATATCTGCGCCTTTGAGGACGGCGATCAAAGTCATCATCATCTGTGAGAATCACGGGCTAAATTAGCGTGTTGTCCGGGAAACTTGTCAGATCCATGTCTCTCACCTCTGTAACGGCGCTTGCGCCCACCCCTGTAGCTGTGGTTTCGACGATCATTTTCGGCCATTGTGTTCTGCAATCAATCCAATAAGCAGGTAAAGTACTAGATTTGATAGAGACAGTGGGTAAGTGGAAAGGTGACAAGCTTAGGAGCTTGAGGTGAATGGGGGAGCTCGGGGGAAATTGAAGTTCCGGACCCGGTGTCCCTGCGATAGTTCTCACTTTATAAGTTAGCTCAGTCTTCTCATGTCTTTTTGGCAGCCTTCTGAGATCTTTCTCAATTGTTTTTTTTATTACCTTCCTTCTCAGCTTCATAACTAGACGGTAGAAAAACGCGAGGGAAAGTGTAAGCTCTACGGACTTTTCGATGTATATATGTAACCAGGGATGTTGGACTACATTCCACCTACTATATACAGTTACGCTGTTCAAGTCTCATTTATTCTTTACGCATCACTACCGAAAAAAAAGAGAAGAGAAAAGAAAAGAAAATCGTCTGCTTGAGAACTGGAATGACATATAGCTCATGGCCGGTAAGTCGGAGGACCGGGGAACCAGCCAAGCCCGATGAATCTGATACAAGGATATTGCGAACAAAAAAAAAGAAAGCAAGGACGCAAAGGGAAGAACGAACGGAGATTCTAGCGCTGCAAGACGAAATATTGACCATCATAGAAAGGGTCCTCCCTAAACGTGTATTCAAAGAAATCTTCAAGATCTCTGATGCATTTGTGGGAGATTCACTCCTCCATCCGGGGTCGAGATCGGGCTTGCTGCGTCTGGGGGTTCTTCCCCTCGACCGATGAAACTATGCAGTCTCCGACCCCCAAAGGCAGACGTGCACAGAAAGGGTATCACTTTTTCCTCCCGAGAGCTGTCTCAGACATCTCAAAATAAACTCCAGGCCATGACCTCCCATTTCGTGAAAACCATCAGCCCTTACCACCAAGAAACCTAGTTTCCATTTCTCAGCCATTAAAGGATGCACTTTTCCCACTTCATACCATTCCCTGCTCATTCACCAGTTCCAAGGTTCCACTATGTCCGGGGGTTGAGGCACACAAACCGAGTCCTAAAGAAAGAAAAAAAACAAAAGACAAGGCAGTGCACTCTCAATTCAGAGTTTACTCGAGATCATGATGTAACTTGGTTGACAGGTCGAATCTTCTCACGCACAGTGCAGATGGCGGCACGACAAACAGACGTATCCCTCGCGGAGGGCGGAGGACACACACTGGTCGACTCAGTCAAGGTGTGCAAGCATCTCCTCCTTGGCAAGGGGTTTGAAGTTATCGAGACCAAGGCCACGGGCTTCGAGGGCGGGGCGAGCGTGAGGGGGAATCATTTGGGCGTTGAGATCAGGGGCAATCGAAAGTTCTAAAAGGTTGATTAGTGAGATTTCTTTTTAGGGTGAACGAGGATGGTTGTACCATGTCGTGAGAAATCGAAAAGGGCAGGGAGATCCTTGGAGGGGTTGTTGTGGTGGCGTGAATCCGGCAGCCGGGTGTTCGGGTCGCGGAGCTCATCGAAGAAGGGATGGCACATTGCTTCAACCGCAGACAACCG